AGGAAGAAGTATTTAAAACTTAATTGCCAAATCTTTGTGCCTGAGACTGGCAGAATGAGTAGGATAAAGAATATCAGATACCTCTTTTGGCAGAATGAGGAGGATTAAGAATGTCAGATACCTTTTTGAGTAAAACAAATGGATTATTAATGGTATATTGTTGCAATGCAATGAAATGAGAATCGTATTTCCAGTGATACAGTGATACATATAAACCCTATATTTGATCTTGTGTTCTTTAAATCCCCGCGAACCCAAAACCTCCGTAAGTGGAACAAGTCCTAAATGGAACGCTTTATGGCAGAACGGAGGGTGTTCCACTTACACAGGTTCTATTGTATATACCTCAGTCTATCATGCATGATATATGACCATGGTTGATATCAGCTCTCCATAATTAATCAAAAAAAATTATCAGTTCCAAACTCTGCAAACAGTCTGGTAGTCAAAAACCTGTAAAATATGTTACATTGATTTTAATAAAAAAAAGGTTGATTGTTAAATCAAAATAGCAAAGGAGGATTCTCGGTTTGGAGAACGAAGTTTATCAATCTAAATGAACATTATCCCTGCTTCGGACAAATTTGATTTTTTTACATAATATAGATTTGAATGTCTTCTAGACAGGTTCCAATTTCAGAATATCTCAAGGGAAAGGGTTTTTGAGGCATTTTTTAGAAAAAGCAACAGACCTATTTCTTCTGGATCAGTTTTTCATGCTGATAAAGATATTAAAAGATGACAGCTCAACGGGGTGGTCACGACACTGAATTTTAGCGTTTTTACCCCCCTAGGAAAATATTCTAGGGGGTACTATGAAACTAGTTCATTACTCAAAGGATATATAAACTATTGTTCTGAGTTCTACAGCATACATTGTTAGTACAGAGATGAATACTATCCTAAAGTTATAAGTTGATATCTTTGTTGGTTTCGGAAAAATACAATTAATTAGAAAAAAATATGCAATTTTCGTCATTTTTTTCTTGCTTATTTTATATTTGTAGCTTCAAGCAAAATATGATAACTTAAACAGCTCAAAGTAGTATTCTAACAACATTCCCAAGCTATGTGTGATATTGTAATACATCTATTATAGTGATGAAGTACTATTTGTAATTTTAATATGACTTTATAGTGCCCTACCCCTGGTAAATAGAAGAAAGTTGGTGTGGTTATCTTCTGGTTTTATAACATTTTATTGTCTTCTTAGTTGAAGATACATTCAATTCTGTCAGTTAACCATGAGAAGCTTTACAATGGTTAACTATTCCCATGAATAGAGGGTTGGGACCTCAAAAATACTGTTAAGTGGCATCCTTGGGCAACCCTCTTCAGAGCATTTTCCTTATACTCCGATAAAATCTGCAGGGGATACTATAAGAAACCTATATATATATCTAAGATACTAATGAAGATACTGAATTCAAATTTTCAGGATTTGGTCCTGGTATGATAGGTAATCTGTATGACAAAAATGACAAAAAGAAAAAACTATGTTGCTATAGTAACAAGAATACGACACTTTTTGTTTCCTAAGAAATGTGTTTTAAGAGGTTTTGTCATTCTCTTCATATTTTTAATTCTAAATATGTCTACAATGTTGGATGATTAAAATTATGGTAAAGTAATCTTTTCTATTGTTCTATTGTTCTCTAAAACAGAAGTTGCTAGGGCGACACATAGATCATAGAAAAAATCCTGAGATGATCGCTCTATTTGTCAGGAAATTAAAATGGAAACTGAAAAATGAGTTTCTTCTTACTGAATAGCAATTTGGTAGACCATGGCTGACACGCACAAGAAAAAACGTCTATCAGTTCTATGTCATTTTGTTGTTATTTTTATTTATTTATCGTGCTCTGGGACTTATAACACCTAATGCCGAATCTTTTCCAACTGCAAAGGAAGGCAAGATTTTAATAATGAACATTCATATATCTCAACAAATATGGTCTAAGATTTGGACAATGATGATGAAACTCTGAGGGAAAATTAGACGAAACATTAATGAGAGTGGTCCAAAAATAACACTTACATGTTTTGAAAAAGTTATGCTCTCGGGTGAATCAGTGCTCATTTAAGGATAGTCTGAATCAGGTTAATTTTTTAACCTAATTGTACCCCTCCCCCCAAAACCCCCAAAGGAGTTGGGTAAACTAGCAACAGAGAGTGCCCCAATTGAAGTGTGAAAAAACTTTTTTTAAGAATAGGAGAAAAAAACATCAGAAATGCATAGATTGAAGTTTATATTTTTGGGTAGTATTTTTAAAAAAATTTAGAAAAAATTGTTACGGTGTCTGGAGACCTTCAAAGAGGGTGGGGGCCACAAGGAAAAAAATTCACATATTTTGCAACCCTCTTGATGAATTCCAATTTACTCAGCTATGAATGAATGTTTTTGATTTATCTGTCCAGGATTATGTAAATATATATTTATTTGATCCATACATACAATTGATTTAAACAATATGTACAGTTTAGAGGTAAGTAAAGCTTTGAAAGGACATTTCATGCTGAGTCTGGGTGACATTTTTATTCACTGGAGGTAGTAATCCTTTGAGTGTTTTCACATAGAGCATAACAAGTCTCCACTCTAATAAGTGATTCTTTAGTTACATAAATGTTATATTGTTGCATACAAAGAATAATTTTGATGGAGACTTATTATGCTCGATGTGAATTTTAGAACTTTATAGAAAATTTTGCCTGCCATTTTTGTTGATTATTCAAAATGGCCAAATGCTATTCATGCTGCATATGTAGGAAGCAGGGCATTATTAAATTTTAGATGCTAAAATACCTGAAACATCAAGTGGTTATATGTCCACAACATCTGAATCAGGTAGTTTAAGTGATGATGAGTAAAACTAATCAGAAAATGTTTCATTGTTATTTCATTAACAAGCCAATGATGAAATGTGTTGAGATTTTAGATGTTTTTCACCTTTTAGGTGATCTCCAAGAAGTGATTATCTCCGTTATCTGTACTTACTGTTTCCTAGACATTATCAGAATGATTGATAATAAACTTAATAGTTGCTTTAAAATTATGTTGAATAATATCATTATGTTGAATTATAATATATACAGTGTGTGTGTTTAGTGTGTGGTTTTTAGCATACCCTATGTCGCTAACAGGAAGCAGGACATATTTCTCATAAAAAATAAACATTACTTTACGAGTCAAATCATGAAATGTACATTCTGAATTTAAATGAATTAAAAATAATAAAGTATTTTCATTATTTTAGGTACTTTTGTTCTCTTTCAGTGTTGCGTGGGAAGGGCGGAATATATTTATATAAATATCTCATTATTGGCAAATTGCCAATTTACTATATATTGTAATTCCAACCTCTATGAGACTAAATTCCTACAGATATTTGTGATATTTTAACCAAAAAGGTATATTTTGGTAGAAAATTATGATTTTTTTAAATTTTACCTTGACCTGGGGAATATGACCTTGACCTAAATTTTCATACATTTTTGAAACACATATATCACATAGATAAATAAAATAAAGAGAAAACTTGAAAATCAGGTGGGGCTTAAAATGGCCTTGTTTACCCAACTCCTTTTGACAATTGTCGAAAAATGGCAAACATCATTAAAGTTCAATATGGCTATTTCGCTTCTATGTCATAAAGATGTGGTATGATTTCAGGTCAATCAATAAAGTTCACAAGTGACACTCTATCTTATGAAGAAAATATTGTTGTATTTGAAGACATGTCAAAAATTTGGTGGAAATAATTTTGTCACTCCTGATTTGACTTGGAAAGGTTCAGGTAAGTAATCACAAACAATTTCAGACAGTTATATCTTTGATTATGACTATTTTCTGACCATGAAGACAGGTATACAGGGATAATTAAGTCAACCGGACTCAGAGATATTTCACTAGCAATCAACCCATCAATATATTTTTTCAAAGTTGTTGACCTCATTTTCACCAAAAATGCCATCATTTTAACAATGTTAACAATTCGGTGTCTTTAAAGTCCCTGGAGCAATCCACTTTTCCTCTTAGGAAATAGAACATGTCTCAAAGCATATTCTAATTATGCATTCAACAATATAATTAAAGGTTGCATCTTTGGTAAAAATTAGGTCAACATTTTTAGTAAAAAGTATGTTGATTGGGCCATTCCCTTTAATATCACTTAGGTCTGATTTCAATCATTATATTTACTTTTCTTGAAGATAATGAATAGATCTAAAAGATATACCCATGTTCATGGTCAGAAAATATTCATAATTCAAGTTAGAATTGTCTGAAGTTGTTTGCGATAACCTACATGCTCCTTTATAACATTATTATGCAAATACAAATGTACATTACTTGTGCATGATGACCACCATAGTCTAGTTGCTCAAATGAGATCAATTGATGATTATAATGTTTAGACGTTATGTCTATGTCCGGACTGTATGCCAACCTCTCTAGTATGTGATTACACTAGATTTCATTATGATACATGTACTAAATTGAAAACTTACATATAAAATATCTTAAGTCCTATATTCTAGTAATAAATGAATTAGAATGTCACCTAACATTTGATGATGGTATGAATTTATTGATTTGGTGTCTATCAATACACGTTTCTAACTTAATGCTGCAAAATGATAAAATTCACCACATCCACTTTCTTCAATTTTCCAGGGGTAGGGCACTATAAAGTCATATTAAAATTACAAAATAGTACTTCATAACTAAAATAGATGTATGACAATACCACACATAGCTTGGAAATGTTTTTAGAATACTACTATGAGCTGTTAAAGCTGTTATATTGTGCTTGAAGCTACAAATATAAAATTGGCAAGACAAAAATTGCGTATCTTTTTCCTGTTTTTTGTATTTTTCTGAGACCAATAAGGGTATCAACCTATAACTTTAGGATAGTATTCATATTTGTACTAGCAATGTATGGTGTACAACTGAGAACAATAGCTCATATATCCTTTGAGTTATGAACTAGTTTCATAGTACCCCCTAGAATATTTTCCTAGGGGGGTAAAAATGCCAAAATTTAGTGTCGTGACCACCCCGTTGAGCTGTCATCTTTTAATATCTTTATCAGCATGAAAAACTGATCTAGTAAAAATAGGTCTGTTGCTTTTTCTAAAAAATGCCTCAAAAACTTGAATTATTTGAAAATATGAGCGCAGTACACTGATGAACTTTTTTCCCCAAATCGAGACTTGTATTTTATTGAATCTGTCAAATTGAGCGTTATCCCTGCTTCAGACCAATTTGTTATTTTTACATCTTGTAGATTTAAATGTCCTCTTTTGAATATTCATAGTTTGATTTGGGTAATATTTCTATATTTTTCATGAAAAAATTATTAGCCCTGGAGACTGTTCTCCAAACCGAGAATCGTCCTTTAAAGTACATGTAGCTATTTGTTGAATACAAGTTTCCATAATTATCAAAGTTTCATAAAGTCTTCAAATGTCATGAATTTGAAACCAATTCCTTTGAGTCTTGACACTGGACTGCCATTAAAATATTCTACATTAAACTCTGGGTGTTTCTTGACATCTGCTAAAATATGCTCGAAGGCTGTTATATGAACTTTCTCATTGTTAGGGATATTATACACATCGCCTTTCACTTGATAATTTGAAAAGAAATAGTTTGAGTTGTTTTTAGGGGTTTCTTTCATTATCAGTTGTTTTCCTTTTGAGGTTGATCCATTGATGTGCTCAATATAATTCATGTCTATTCCAAGTAGCAGAATCTTTTCATATCCTAAATACTGCCCAACCCTTGCAGATAAGGCACCTGTCGAGATCTTTCGAGTCACTTTTACCATATTTTGGTCTTTACCAGCTTTAATATATTCGAAAAATTTCACTTTTGGATGAGATTTCAGTTTAGGCACTTCTTTAGCAATATTTGATCTCGTAAAGAAGAGTCTCATGCCACGTTTATCAGAGTTCTCAATCATTTCCATCAGCTCCGGAATGTGAGCAATGTTAACCACTGTATCAAATGATGCATAATATTTGGGCCACCAGTCAATCTCCTTCCAGTATCTAAAAGCTAAGTTCATTCCTAATGTATCTACTCCTTTAGTCTTTAAGAAGTCAAATCCTTTCAAAGATGGCCCATTTCCAAACACAATTAGCTTCTTATATATGCTGCAATTTCCATAATTGTGTTCGAAACACCATTTAGAGCATTGATGATTTGCCGCTCTATCTATGGTACCATGAACGCATGACTGGGTGTCATTATTTACGCACCAGCCACACTCAGGCGCATCCAGACATCCCTTCCTGTTGAATATAGACTCGCACATTCCGGTGGATAATCTTGAAATGTCAGACCATGCCCTATGAACTGTTTCAAGCGTTTTGATTGGTTTATCTCTCCAACCAGATAGCACATAGAGACTGAGAGCCACTGATACCACTATCAGCACTGCTGTATACATGCGGATTTTTGAATTTGTGCACCTCATTATCCTAGCCTAGCTCTTTATATGTCACTTCGCTGCTACAAATGAGACTTAGCTGCTGCAAATGGCGCTCAGACATCCACTGATCAATGTGTCATAGCCTGTATGAAATAAAAATAAAAATTAGATATTTCAGTTTGAATTGAACATATAACAGTAAAACCTGCAAACAAATTACGCTCTGTCTCTTACGGAATGGCCAAATAGTTCCTTGTTGACAGGGTCAATGTTTTGGACCAAAAAAACACAAAATTGCTGAATAAGCCACAAATTGAACGAAAGCATTAGTGTTAATTCGCGATTTATATTCAAACAGATTAATTAAAAGAATATTGGGATAATCAATGCATCCTATGAGAACCTTAATATCTTCTCACAAATAGGAAATGGTATTCAGAGCGTGTCAATAATCAGCTTATCCTAATATCATTTATTTATATTAAGCTAAGCTTAATATGGAATTATGATCTTGGAGATGTAGATAAAATAAACTCAAATATCAGCGATATCGATTTGACCGACATTTTCATAAATAACAATGAAAATGTGAACTTAACTACTGAAAACTTTACTCGCAATGTTTTTGACATTTTTTCCAATAACATTCCGCAGAAAACTTACATAACCAAGGCAAATGACCAGCCATGGATTAACAAAAAAATCAAACTTGAGATCAGAAAAAAATAAAAACTTTTTCGTAAGTCAAAATCAAATGGGGATATGGTCTTTCCTAATTTTCCAAAAAGGTGCAATCAAGAAATTGACAATATTACGACAACACCTGATGAAATAAATAAAATCATACAGTCTCTTGAACGTGACAAAGCATGCGGTCTTGATGGAATAAATAACAGAATGGTGAAAATTGCCTCAGCCACTCTATCAATCCAACTTTCTTCACTTTTTAACTTCATTTTCCAAAAGTCAGAATTTCCTGACTGTTGGAAGTTGGGAAATATTTCTCCAATTCATAAGAAATCTGACCGGTCATTCGTTGAAAACTATAGGCCGATAACATTATTAAGCACTTTCTCCAAAATTTTTGAAAAGGTACTCCATGCTAGAATCATGAAACACCTTATGGATAATGACCTCTTATACAAGTTTCAGTCAGGTTTTCTCCCTGGCCACAACACAGAACTTCAACTTTTAGCAATTACTGACTATATTTATCATCAAATGGAACAAGGAAACTGTATTAACTCAGTATATCTCGACATTTCGGCTGCGTTTGATACCGTCCCGCATTCGCTCTTAATACACAAAATGAAATCTTATGGAATTAACGGCAAGACAATTGATCTTTGTGATTCTTACCTGAGGAATAGAAAAGTTTGTGTATCAATCAATGACCAACATTCTAAATTCTCAGACAACAACTTCTTTAACTCTGGTGTTCCTCAAGGCTCAGTAATAGGCCCCCTCATGTTCCTCATCTATATAAATGACCTCCCAGACAACTTAGACTCTGAAGCATACATATATGCTGATGATACATCTCTATATTCATTTTTTCATCCATCAAATGCTCAAACCGATCAGATTCAAAATGATCTTAATAAAATTAATCTGTGGTCAAAGAAATGGTTCCTTAAATTCAAACCTTCCAAAAGTGCCCAAGTCATATTCCACTCAAACCGGATCAAAAACTTCCAAAAAACGCCACTTTATTTTGACGGAGAAATCATTCCATGTAACCATCTTGGATTTATCCTTGATGAAAATTTGACTTATGAAGACCATATAAACTATCTTTCACGGAAAGTTCAAAAACTGCTTAATCCACTCAAGTATCTGTCAAATAGTATAAGATCCAAACACCTTGAAACAATGTATAGCTCCTATGTAGCATCAAATTTTGACTACTGCAGTGCCTTGTATGGGTCTGCCTCATTAGTCCTATTAGCAAAACTTGACAAATTGCACTATCAAGCAGGTGTAGTATGTGCAGGTGTTCTTCATGGCTCAGATACCTCCAAAGTTTTTCAATGCCTTAACTGGAAAACCCTAAGACAAAGGAGAAATGAAAAAAATGTTCGGATAATGTTCAAAATAAATAAAAGAAATGTAGCGCAATATATATGCAACATATTTGACAAATATAAAAACCCAGCCACCAGACTACTGAGACATTCTATGCCTTACAATATTCCAACTAATGTTTCTGTCAGACTCCTTAAAGCCCCTGTCTTAAATATTATAAAACAATGGAACAACCTTAGCCAACTTATAAGAGAATTACCAACCATCTCTAGTTTTAAAAATGCTGTTCGGTCAACAATTCTCCCAAACATAAATTTCATTCCAACAACCAAGCTAAACTTAACAAGGTCAAATGAGAAGATTTTAAACAGACTTCGTGTCGATTTCTTTTTAAAAGAACACTTTTTCTCTCATAATTTTATTGGTGTAACTGACAACAAGTGTCCATGTGGATCCCCTGAAAATACTAAGCACTTTCTCCTTTCTTGCCCCCGCCATACTGATGATAGGACAAACATGATTACTGCACTTAGACAAAACAACCTTCTCTATGATGAGAACATCTACACCAACCGAAATGATCAAGTCAAATATCTCCTCTATGAAAATACCCTTAGCCGTGATTCACAAAACTTACTTCTTAACATTGTGCTCAACTTTGTTAGATCATATACATTCACCCATTGAGAATCTAAAACTTGCCCAAACCTCCTGGACCAAAATATCCCCAACAACTAAACAACTAAGCAACTAAGTAATTAACAACAAAACTTTTCAATAGTTTTATGCATTTTTTGTTTTGTTTTATTATTACTTGCTTCTAAACTATATTTATGTTAAAGCGACCTGTTATGCCAAATGGCATTTGGTCTTGCTTTCTTGTACTTAAATTACTATGATTTAAGAATAATAAAAATATTAAAGGCAGAATCTGAGCTATAGGGGTGACAAAATTACAACCAACATGTATAATTGACCTACCAATCTATTCCTTACAATATCAAATACAATATCTCCCAAAAGATTCACAACATGTTATAAATGGGTGAAGTTATTAATGATTCAAAGTGCAAAAATGAGTGAAAAATGGTTAAATTCTCTCAAATAATAAGAATGCTAACCATTCTTATAGAAAAATAATACATAATTGTAAAAATCTTTAGTTTTCCTGGAATAAAGTATGCACTTTTGTGATTTTTAGAAAATAGACATGACAAGGAATGACATGAGCCAAAAATATTCTACAATTGAAACAATTTTTTGTTTAGCCTGCTCGCTATATCTGATTCTCTCTTTAATAACTAGACTTTGGAAATTGAACAAGTTCAATTTCAGACTCCAGATTTAGACCTTTTTTTAGCCGAGTCATCCAGAATAAGCCGAGTCTTCCAGAATAAGCTGAGTCATCCAGAAAAAGATGGATGGATAAAATAGGAAGGTAGGATAGGATAGAATAGGAAGGAACGATAGGATAGAATAAGAAGGATAGGATAGAACATAATAGGAAGAAAGGATATGATAGGAGAGGATAGGAAGGAAAAGATACGAAGGAAGGATAGATAGAAAAGATATGATAGGATAGGATCAGATAGGAAGGATGGATGAATTTTTCAATATTTTCTTATCTACTCTTGACTTTCTATCAGGATACCATCAGATCGATTTTCCGAAATTTCAAAACGCCATAACTTCCGAACCGGAAGTCGGATCGAAATTTGATGTAAAGATTCGGATTCCTGACAAAATTCTACCCCTAATTTATAACTCATACATTAAATTTGGCGAATTTTTATTTTGACCTACTTTTCGGACACGCCATAACTTTCGAACCAGAAGTCGGATCGAAATTTGGTTTGCAGATTCGGATTCCTGAGAAAATTCCACCCTTAATTCATAACTCATATGTTAACTTTGGAGATCTTTTTATTTTGACCTACTTTTCGGACACCATATCTCAAAAGTGGGTCAAAGTACTCTCTGACGGCAAAAGGCTAACACTATTAGCACACTCTTGGCTACATGTATACACAATTTCGAAGAATATAATTAAAGTGCAGTGTCAGAATCGCAAAACTAAGGAAAAACTTTGAATTTGACCTAGATTTTGACCTAGGCATTTTGGTGTCCAAATTTTGAAGCTAGATGGCTTTTGAGGTCGCATTCTTTTAAAAGCTTTCATTATATTTAGCTGAACTCAGTCTATATTTCGTATTTTTCACTTCAAAAAAATCTTTTTTCCCATTGACTTAACATGGGCACCAAATTTAGCGATTTCTGAGCTTTCAAAACGCCATAACTTCCAAACCGGAAGTCCGATCCAAATTTGGTTTGCAGATTTTGATTCCTGAGATCATTCTACACTTATTTCATAACTCACATGTTGAATTTGGAGAACTTTTTGTTCTGACCTACATTCCGGACGCCATAACTCAAAATTGGTAACAGTAATCAAAAATCTGATGGCACACTCATGAAAGCGCTGTTTCTTAGCTACATGATGAAAAAAGATGAAGACGTTTCGATAAATAACGACAAAGATAATTCCACCCGTGTAGCTCAGCGGTAGCGCAGGTACCTCTTATGCGATAGGTCCCGGATTCGATCCCCGGTTCAGGCAAGACTAAATTTGCTTGTTTGCGTGAAGTACTTCAGGGTATTTGACTGAGTGGTCCGCAACTCGTACAAAAGGCTGTGGTGTGTACTTGTATGTCTATGTATAAGTGCACATAAAAGAACACAGGGCTCCTTCAAGGAGGGGTTTCTGGGTCTATCTTCCATGTTAATTACGTAAATTACGACCGTATATATACGGGACATATCCAAGAGGTATTGCTCACCTTCATTGGTGGTAAACAAAATACAATACAATACAATAGACAGAAGGTTGAAAATGTAAGATTTGACCTAGTTCTTGACCTTTGACCTAGATAAAAAATTGACCCAATTTCCGAGAAACTAAATGCTGGACCTAAATTGACCATATACAGGTCTTGACTCAATGTCTTCTGACTACTGAGAAAACGTGTAGAGAATAATAATAAAGAAGAAGAAGAAGAAGAATACTGGCAAAAGTAATAGACTCCAGATTTACATCTGGAGTCTAATAATAAAAAAGCTAAGCTCTTTTGAATGACTCCCTTGGAAAACAATAGGATGAACAGTAACCAGATTAATAGCTGTGAAATTTCAAAAAACTGAAAATTAGCGAAATATAATAGCCGCGAAATTTCAAAATGCCAAAAACACGAAATATAATAGTGTCAAATATTAGTGGGAGTACAGTATTTGAGTGTCCCATCTTGTATATAGACTTATCTTTCTTTGATTAACATTTTAAAATGTGGTCAAATATACACCTATATAGGTGTCATGGCCACAAATCTGTATAAATGTAATTATGTTTTAATGAAATAAGTAAAAAAATATGTACTAAGTATATACATATATATATTTTCCAGAAAATGAAATAATTAGAATTGTAAGATAAATATTGGCACAAATCTGTATAAATGTAATTACTCAGATGCGAGTAGGTGGTTACCAGTTTCGCCACCAGGTGGCTGATTCGGGGGAAATAACATGGCAGGGTATTACAAAATTCCCTTAAACTTGAATATTCATCAGTTTTAATGGTTCACTTTTCATATTACCCTTATGTGTCTGAAAGTTATTCAAATTGAAATATGACCAGTAAAAGAAAATATTATCTGCCCAACACAAGAAAAGATATTTCACGTTTTGTGGTTTTACAACATGGGGTCTATGGGGAATCTCCCCGACCCAAAAGTCACATTTTCAAATAAAATTAAATTTTCAAAGTTGATAAACTCTTTTCAAAACCATATTTCTAGATGTAATTTTACATGTAGATGTGATAACCCAACAGATTTACTTTCTTGTTTGCCGCTATTAAGTAATGTCAGTTCGATGTCTCACCACTGTTGGGTTTTCTTTTAATGTTGTTTATATACTCACATACATGTTTAGATCGTTATTATCCACTAAAGTGTCCTATTGTAGTAATTTGTGGATATTGTTGCTCCCGTTCATACTTTTGGCGTAATTCTCGAACTATTCTTAGTTCCGTTCCTACTTTTGACGTAAAAAGGTCAAGGTTACTGTCGTAGTTTTCTGGTCTAAATTTCACCCTGTTTACTATGTTTTATCATTAATCTAGTAGGATATGCACATAATACGTAAATTCAGCTCTCTATAAGTAGTTTAAACTTTGCAATTGGTCCCGTATTGGCGAAGTTATGGCCGTTTTTGTGGATTTACATAAGTTCGTAATTTATGTAGGGCGCTGCGCGTGCGCAGAAGACAGGTAGCCATCTTATGTTTTTCGAGTAAATCATTTGTGATTTGCTCCGCTATCTTCACTCAAAATGTCGCTATCGTTGACCGTCGAGGTGTCTAAACTGTCTCACGATTTACACCAGTAAGTCGTCCGTCCACATGAGGTGATTACAACAGGATTTGCACGAAGTCTGACCCCCGAATCAGGCTTAAAGTTTGAGGTTCACCCCTCCCGCATCACTTGCACATGTCAGCACGTTTGTCAAATGGCGAACTACATACCACCAACAACCAACCACTCATATGCTGATGCAGATACCTCATGTGGATGGACACCCTACACCTCATTTCAAGCTGTGTGCACTCTATGTATATCGAGTGTGACAAATTGGCAAGTATTACATTTGGATTTGGATTTGACTTGTTAATGCAAAAGCACATTGGAATTATTTGACCCATATTTGGTTTACATGGTTGATGATCAACATACCCAGTTTGATCATGTCAGTTTGCTTCATTGTTGTTGATCAATACCCAGTTTGATCATGTCAGTTTACATCATTGTTGATGATCAATACCCAAATTGATCATGTTTTGGTACACTGCAAACTATCCTGTGCAGCTGTATGTTACATAATGTCTCGCTTGTATGTAGTCGGCTTATGGAGTTCAAGTCTTACTGTTGGGCAACAGTTAGTATCAGATAGATGATGGTGTTGAGTTAAACCCTGATGGAACCCTGGTTTATGGTCTAGCCTGATACTAGTTTTGAGCTTGAACTGTTCTATTGTTTATCGATGGTTGGAGTGTCGGTTTTATTGTATCGTTGCATTAAGGTCGTACTATAATTTATATACTGTATGCATGTATGGCTTTCCCCAAAGCCACCCTAGGGAGATACAATTTGTTGCACCCAATATTACCAAAGGGAATACAAGTTGTTGCACCCACCCTTATGTTGTGTCATGGAATATTATAAGTTGGTGATGTACTACTACCAACTTGGGTATACAGTTTCACACATGTTCATGATTGATCACTTACTACATAACATGCACCCACTTGTTACATAGCATGTACCCACATGATGTGTAATCGCACCCATATGTCATGTAGCACGCGTCGGCATGTTTCATAGCAGGCGCCCACTTGTTGCGTGACATGTATATCCATGTCATGTGATTGCACCCACATGTTATATGACATTAATTTCCCTAGCATGTTACATAATAAGCAGTCATGTAAACATTGTTATCACTAATTGGTATGTTGAATCAAATGTTGTACAATTCATTGTTATAGTCATTATTTGGTATGTTTCACCCAAGCTTGTGAATACATAATGTTGCGTTGATATTTCTAGTCGGTCTTACATTTTGTCAGTGGTTGTACTTAGGTTCTTTGCGTCATGTCGTACACTCCAAGGTCCCAGTTGTTGTTGTTCTCATTGTCAAAGGTTGTTGCAAAGTCATGGTAATACATATTGCTATGTATGTTTATTTGGTCACCAGTTGTGTCACACACTCTCCCAGATGAAAGTATTGTATGTTATATGTGTAGTTAATGTAGGATTTATGAATATGAGCTCAATAATGTGTAATTACAGTATCAGCTTCTTGGTAATTATGTAATCTTACTTGAGTATGTATTGTACTTGATAGGAAATACTATGTATATTATCGTAACCACATTTCAGGGATCTTAATTGCATAATGATTCACCTTTGTGCGTAATCCTTGAATGTGGGTACCCGTTGCCATTGAGTAACGCTGCACCATATATCATTCAGGTATCACAATATCAGAACTTTTATTCATATTTATATTTCCACACTATGTGTGTAATTGTCATAATTACTATACTCATTTTATAATCATATTGTAAATAAACCCATAATTATGTTTTCATTTATATTTAAACTAAATCATCTGTTTTGTCAGTTAGGTGTATGTTTTATGTCGCAGTGCGACATATTCAGCCATTTTGCCATTCAACCAGTCATGTCTGCAAAACCCTCGAGAGCATATACAATCATAACACGGACCCGGTAATAATGTGACGATTCTTCCACTCACTCATCAACCCTTTAACGCTACCACAACCTTTTGCGCTTACCACGCAGAGTGAGGGTCGTTACATAGATTCCAAATATGACATCAGTTTGACTGAATTGTGAATTTTAATGACGTAAATCAAGATTATTTCTACTCGCATCAAGGATATTATGTTTTAATGAAATAAGTAAAAAAAAATGTACTAAGTATATACATGTATATATTTTCCAGAAAATGAAATTAGAATTGTAAGAGAAATATTGGCACAATTTCCAATAAGATTACATGGAACCTCGTACAATCACTGTCTCTCTAATTCCTTTATTCCTTTATTTGAATAGCCCAAGAAATGTTATACAATGTAGATAATTTCTGGGATATATGCCCTAGTATAACATGCATGATATATGACAAATAGTAGGTATTACCTCAGTCTATCATGCATGATATATGACCATTGTTGGTATCAGCTCTCCATAATTAAGCATTGTTATTAATGAGAAGACACTGTTTCTGAATTGTAGACTGTAGCTGTGTTTGGATGGATAGTGGCTGCTGGACTTTCACTGTCAACACAATATGGGTTATATGGTCTATTCAACGAAGCTCCAATATCTCCTGACGTCATGGCTTTATATGATGCAGTATCACGTACAGTGTGGAGTATGGGCCTAGGATGGGTGGTCTTTGCTTGTGTAACAGGATATGGAGGTAAAGTTCACTATGCATTAACCTAAGGGAACAGTACACTATATAGCTAACATTAACCTAAGGGTAAAGTTCACTACGTAGCTAACACTAACCTAGGGACTCAGTACAGATAACCTAAGGGTACAGTACACTTTATAGCTAACACTTACCTAGAAGTACAGTACACTATATGGCTAACATTAACCTAAGGGTTCAGTACACTATATAGCTAACATTAACCTAAGTGTAAAGTTCACTACATAGCTAACACTAAAGTAGGGGCTCAGTACAGATAACCTAAGGGTACAGTACACTATATAGCTAACATTAACCTTAGGGTACAGTACAATATATACAGCTACGGCTTCAGTACACTATATAGCTAACACTTACCTAAGGGTTCAGTACACTATATAGCTAACACTTACCTAAGGGAACAGTACACTATATAGCTAACACTTACCTAAAGGTAAAGTTCACTACATAGCTAACGCTAACCTAGGGCAATGTACAGTTAACCTAAGGGTACAGTACACTAGTAACTATATACCCTACACTAACCTAGAAGTACAGTACACTATATAGCTAACCTAAGGGAACAGTTCATCACATAGCTAACACTAACCTGTTGGAAAGTAAACTAGAGTCCATTTCACTGCTTCATTTCGTCAGTAGAACGGCAAAAATAAGAAATTGAGAGACCATTGTGCAATAATATATGGAAAAGTATATTCATAATGTACATGAATGACATTTGTATATCTTGGATTGCTTCTAGTTTGGCTTATAAAGTGTGTGGCCTCTTATATTTGGATGTTTCTCTGCCATGTTATTTTCAATAAGATTAACATGGCTGAAATTCTTCAAATTACAAGACGGCACAGGCTTATTGCACAAAAAACTAAAAAATCTGAAATATGCAATTGTCATTCATGTACATTATGAATATACTTTTCCATATATTATTGCACAATGGTCTCCCAATTTCTTATTTTTGCCGTTCTACTTACGAAATGAAGCAGTGAAATGGACTCTATACTTATATGTAATGTTATACTTATATGTAAAGTATAAGTAACATAGGACCACAATTCACAATAAGCAGTGATCTCCCCAGGATTAAAGCAATTGGATCCACCTGAGATTTTGAAAATAGGCTTGCACCCACCTGAAAATCCATTTGCACCCACTTGAAAATGAGAAAAATCATGAAAAATTGGCATATTTGACCAATTTTGGTCTGAATTGTGAAAATGAGAATTTTGCACCCACCTGAGAAGAAATCCTGGGGAGATCACTGATTAGGTATATGGTACACTATATTAATAACTTAGGGGCACAATTTCTTAAAGGAATATTCCTTGCCAGACCCTTTCTCTCTTGATATGGTAGCTATAATCATATATATAGTTTCCATATTTAGCAAAACATGGGAAAATGTTTTAATATGGTCAATATTGATCATTTAAAAATCTAGTGCTTATTTCCAGTGAGCTGCCATCTTTTAAGATTTCTTGCAGGAAGTGATGTCATCAACTCTCAACTTCTATAACCTTGCCCATAACAGTATAGGAAAGTAGCACAAAATCACTTCTAGACAAGTGACCATTACTTTCTGTGCAAAAATATTTTCAGGGCTTGTCAACTTAGAATAAAAGAAGAGATTTTCAGAAGGATTAAAGGGATAAGGTGCGTAAATGAAGTCTCACTTTAAATCTTCATTGTATTTCCAATGGATAAATAAGTACCTCATCTTTCATTTGACACCAAAAACAGCTCAAAAAGACCACATCAGAATTGACACTAGATCATGAAAAAATATTTTTGATCTATCAATTTTTATATGTCAAGTTTTTAGCAATGCGATAGAAAGATGGCATTGTTGTTTGCATTAATTATCCATTCATTTTTGATAGGATTTTCAAGCATACGCCATCTTTTAATCCAAGAGTTATTTAAAACATACACTTTGTGAAAAGTGGTAATTCACTTTTTTCAATCTCTGAACTTCAAATGCTGTTTTTCTATGCAAGTGATTTTTTTTCACATCAGTATTATCCCAAATAAAAGTTTTTATCATATTTGATTGACTGTGTGAGTGACATGTCTCAAATAATATTTTGTCCTTTCTCCTTCAAAAATAGGCGCATTGCCTGTTTAAATAAGATACAAAGTTGAAAAAGAATATTTAGCTGGTTTTGTAATTCTTAATAGCTCCTCACCTAATGCTATATGCAAAGTTGAGAGTCGATGACATCACTTCCTGTGTGAAATTTTAAAAGATGGCAGCTTACTGGAATTGAGCATCACATTTCTAAGTGATCAAATTTGACCATATCAAAACATTTTTGCGTGTTTTGCTAAACATGGCAAGCATATATATGGTTATAGCTACCATATGAGGAGAGAGATGGTTTGGCAAGGAATATTCCTTTAAACCAAGAAGTATAGGGATCATTTTATTATTGGAGAATGTAGTGTTGCAAGTGATGATGGACTATATAATTTTTATATTTCAGGATTTGTGAACACGCTACTATCCTGGTCTGCCCTGGTTCCTCTCAGTCGTCTCACCTACTGCGCCTACCTCATTCATCCAATCTTATTGATGGTCTATTATTATAGCCGCGAAACTGTTTTCTACATCTCAGATCTGAATATCGTTGTAACATTCCTTGGAATGCTTGTTGCTACATATGGTGTTTCATTTTTTGTCTCTTTGGCTTTAGAAGCACCATTCATGCGCCTTGAAAAGATCATATTCAAGCGATGATGATATTTACCACTAGGAGATCTTATTATATACTAAGTGAATGTTTTTTCTATTTCCCGAGATTGCAATTGGGATCAGGCCGGTAGCCAGCTTTTGCCAAGGGGGGTTCAGTTTTGAAAGAAATTCTAGGGAGGTTTAGTTTTGACAATTTTGGCTCATATTGGTGAAAAACTGCATGATTTTGAAAAAAGTTTTGACAGAACTCAGCCTGGTCTGGCGTTGGAACTTGGGATATTATTTTGAAAGTGACAAAGATATTCCCTGAAACAGAATGAAATATTTGTTTTATTAGTTTACTATTTACGGTTATGATTCTCCTTCTGTAACAAGGACATAAAGATATTAAAAACAAAGTGTAGGAAATATTCACTCTTCAGAATAAGGCTCAGATATCTACATATTTAAGGGCCTCGTTTTGAATGAGGAATTAAAATATACAAGTGAGATATTATTAGGATATATTATGTAGGATTGAGTGTCATAAGGAGGCCTGACAAGGAGCCTCCTATAGCTTTTGTTATTATCGTTTTATTTATCATTATTGAGTGACTCAAAGGTAGTGCTAAATTGAATTGCAACTTCCTCCCACTTCAAACATTTCTTGCATATACCATCCCACTATACGATGTCTCAATTAGTTTTACTGTTTTTGAAATACAGTAAAACCTGTCTTAGTGAACACTTCTGTCTTAGTGAACACATGTGTTTGGTGAACACCACTTCAGGCACTTTTTACATTGACTCCTGTATTAAATCCCCTTTCTGTAGCGAACACCTTTCTACAGTGAACACTTTTTGTGGCTCCATAGGTGTTCACTATATGTAGGTTTTACTGTATTTGTCTTCAAACAAGGCAAAAAGCAACTATTTACAAACTTGATTTAGACTGACCCACTCCAACTTTTTTAAAGAGTCGTCACCAAGTTAGAAAGAGTTTGTGTTTAAAGTGCACTCTGGCAGTGTTAAGGCCACAGTGCACTTTGGAATTTTTTTGCAATTTTGAAAAGTAAACCACTGAATATTTTAGTTATTCAAACATTCTGAAGAATTATCAACCCTCAATTCATAGTCTAGGTAAACTAATGCATCTTTTGTGCAAGAATGAAAGATCTAGATGATGTGTGGAATGAGTTATGTTTATCTGAAAATAGCACATAGTCATGAAATTTCATCAAAGTAATAGTATTTCATGTGAGCAATGTTGTACACATATACATGTGTCACTTACAAAAATCAAAATGTCAACATTTTATTGGTATTTATATTTTCTGACACGTTATAGAGAAATATTTAAACTGGAAGGTCAAGCGGAACTCAGAGAAATATTTGTTCAACTTTGTGAAGCCATCACTAAGGATTGTTTCATCCAAAACTGAAGATGCTCCTAAAATTATTAAAAGATCAAAAATATTTTTGTCCAAACCTTATTTTTCAATCTCGCCAACTCCACTCGCTGAAACAGGATACATCACGATCAAACTGAATCACAAAATTTCAGACGGCACTTATGTATAATTAGTTTCTTATTCATCATAGTAGAGGTTCCCATGGGTGCTACTTCCTTAAGTATCGCCTAAAAATCTGAATAAACATTTGAAAGCACTATGACTGGCAATGGAATGTTTAGTATACACACAAAACAGATCTCTCATATTCAGTGTGTTGTATACTCATTTAGTGAATAAAATCATACACAGCATAATTACGCCCAAACTCGTCGGCTAAATGCACTTTACTGAAAATATCCATTCATAGAATTGAAAGACTATTCAGTTTTTTTTCTGCTTGAACAAATATTGGACAAAAAAACAGATTCCTTTTAAGGTCAGTCTTTCATATTGCAGGCATGTGTTTTGACACAGTATTGGCAAAGTGATTATTATAGATGATCCGAATGTACACTGATGCCATATGAAAAGGACCGAAATTAACATAAATGACATCACTATGTACCTGATGACATCACAGATTACAAATGCTATATAATCTAATAAATACGTAAAAATTGAATTAAATGATTGAATAATGTTACAAATGTACTTTTACCTGGTCTATCTAATTGACCTTTTGCAATCAGAATTCAGGTATTTTGTTTATGGATACTGTTGTCATGTATTTCATCTTATGGGCGTGACGTCATATAGAAATGATATTAGACATGATGGAGAAATGAAATGGCGGACACAGTTTTGAGCTGAAAATATTATCGTTTCTCAGGATTTCTATGGGTTGCATATTTACCAGGTATGCCGATTTGATTTAAAAGACCAATAACTTTTTTTCGAACTCAAAAAAACAAAAGCCATTTATTATTTCAAAGCTAGATATCTGACATTTTAATTCAGATTTGATTTTTTTAAATGTGATAGGTCAAAGCTCAAGGTCATTCACCTCCGTCATCTTTGGGTCTCCATAAGATTGCTTGCAGTCTTCAATGTCTTGTTATATTATGGTGCTCTTAAGTCAGTTACATTAAAACCAGTGTATATTGAACATTGCCGATAAAACCTGTTTCACTACAGAGAGTAATTTATATAGAAGTCAGTAGAGTATGTGCTGAGGAAGGGTCTCGACTAGAGACAGGTGTTCACGAGATGTGTTCATGAAGACAGGTGTTCATGAAGACAGGTTTTACTGTAAATATAACAGTATCTGTATAGTGATTTTTGGTTGTGAAAATTGTACTACTTAAGTTGGCGTACTTAGTCAAGAAGAATGTCGAATAGCTAAAACAACACTGGCAAGGGGTGATCTAGAAGAAATGAACGCTGTTTTATGCATCCTTTTATATATAAAAGTGTGTAATAATAATATTATATTGTATAATATTCCATTGTATCTTTTTATTATTATTATTATTATGATCTTAATGCTTTTTCTGTCAATGTGTCATAGTATTATCGTGCACTATATTATATTATATCATATTACATTGTTTTATATCTTTGTGTTTGTGACATACATTATTGTATCTCATACTTGGGTGGGTTTGGGGTAGATATTGCCCCAGAATATATATCATATCTGAGAAAGCAGGCCAAATGCGGGCAGATACAATATATCCATCCCTCTCAAAAAAAATTTCAACTTCTTTTCTTCAAATTTTGTTTTCAAAAACTTTTTCTTTTCAAAATTTTAATTTTTTTACAAACATTACATTATACTGAACTACAGGAATATTACAAAATGTTAAATATAAATTGTGCTTTTACAGTATAAGCCTATCTTTTCATTAGAAAAAGGTGGAAAGGGTTATATCTACCCAAAACCCACTCAAGTATGAGATACATCAGCTATGTACAGTCGGTTTTGGATATAGGGTATATCCAAAACCTCCCAGTACATAACCCTTACACTGGTATATGCTGCTTGTATATTATATTTTAATTGTCATTTATATGCGTAGCCCAAATGTTATTTTAACAGGCAATAATTTGATACAGCATACTGTGAACTGAAATTAACTTACTATAGTTGACACTGCAATTTTTTTATCATTAAAAAATATTTATACAGGAATAACCACATACATTTTTGTTCAGAGTCTTTATCATTTTATGTGTCTCTGATTTATTATGTCACCACCACTAGTTGTGACATATTGTTAAAAGTCTCCAATTTTTTTGAGGATGGGGTTTGGTGTTTGACATTGGGTGGTTGGGGTTTGGTGGTCGATGTCTGGAACAAATGGCAGGTAGTGACATTTTGCATGTTGATGCCTTGTTGTTAAAGCTTGAGAAATATGAAATACAGTGTCTTTTGAGGATATGTATTATGTATCTTTATTTCCCACATATGTGTGGATTTCATATGAACTTATTAAGCTGATTAAGTATTAACATTGCAACCTTTTGTGAAATATACTCTTTTTACATGAATGTAATTTCTAAAAGTTTAATGGAAACGAAACTTCAGAATTGAAAAATTAGCTTGACTTTATAACAGGACAATGTTTTTTACTTCCACAATTTGAGAATGTAGGATGTTTTCACGCAGGAGGGCCACCCGATAAAAAATGAGTTCTTGAAAAGGTTTTGTCAAAAGATGTATAGCCTCTTTTGTTACATGAGCTTACTAATTAATAAAAATTCAATTTGTATGATGAGAGTTCAGGGTACAGAAATCTTATTCGAATGGTTTGAAACATTTTGGAAAATACCACGTTTGATAAGGAACACTATATGAGTAAAATATTGTGAAATTAACAATTTGTGACAAATTGACAATTTTTCAAAATGTTACCCTCACCTTGTTGCTATTTACTGCTGCCTCTTAAATACTGATATTAGCCTGTTAGCTTTTTGGACAAAGTGACAATCGTACAAGTTGTGTTGAAATTAATGTTCTACAATGTACTCCTATGCCAAACACATATTATTCTCTGTATCAACTAGAAATGCTGGATTTTAATTATATGATGGAAAACTGTAAGTGGAACAATTTTTATGTAAATGTAACTTCATGTAAATGAACCCCTGTAAGTGGAACACCTTCATAAGTGGAACACCTAAAAGTTCTGTGACCCATTTACTTTAAAATTGAATGAACCTCTATAAGTGGAACACTTTTTCAGTTAAAAAGCATTCCACTTTGCACATGACTGTATACAATATTGTATTTACAATACAATGTTAAATTGTATTTACAATACAATGTTAAATTGTTTTAACTAGGATGTAATATGTATGTAAACTGGTGGGCATGTGCTCTATTTTATTTATGCATAAGCTCTGGAGATATTAAATATTGCATGTTTTCATTTATATTCATTTATAGACTAAGAAAGTGCCATGTATACTTATCCTTATGTACAGCTTATTAAAACATATACATGTACAATGTATTCGTATTTATGATGTAACATGCTTTTGTAGAGAGATCTAAATTTGCATATTTTTGCATAATTAATGCTTTATATGTGGCTAATAATGCTTTAAGCCTAGCCGCAGCACTATATTGTACTTTCTATATAATATAAATAAATAAATATATATAAAAAAAAAAAAAAAAAAAAAATTAATGCTTTGTATCCCATCTGATTAATTCAGATATTATGACAGCCAAATATATATGTGATATATAAAAGTGATATATATGTGATGTTATATGGTGTTGAAAATGGTTGGGAATTTCAATATAGATGTCTAAGAATGAAACAAATTTTAGTTTAGTTATGTAATAAATTGTTTGTAGCACTACAATGGTCTATAGGTCTTGAATGGTCTATTGCACTATAATCATCAATAGCACTACAATGGTTTATCACTACTATGCTGTACAGCACTTGTAGCATTTGATCTCTTATCAATACAATGGTATTCCAATACAATTGTCTGTAGCATTACAATTGCCTAGCATTACATTTAGCAGTAGCATTTCAGAGGGGTATCATTTCAGATGTCAGCTATGAATCGGTAGATGACAATGAAGGCATGGTAATACAGTAAGGATTTATAGTAATACAGTTATCACAGTCATTGTAATATAGTAAGGACAGTCATGGTAATACAACAATCACGGTCATTGTAATACAGTAAGCAATCATGGTTATACAGTAATTTCAGTCATTGTAATACAGTAAACAATCATGGTGATTCAGTAATTTCAGTCATTGTAATACAGCAAGTAATCATGGTGATTCAGTAATTTCAGTCATTGTAATACAGTAAGCAATCATGGTGATTCAGTAATTTCAGTCATTGTAATACAGTAAGCAATCATGGTGATACAGTAATTTCAGTCATTGTAATACAGTAAGCAATCATGGTGATACAGTAATCACAGTCATTGTAATACAGTAAGCAATCATGGTAATACAGTAATCACAGTCCTTGTAATACAGTAAGCAATCATGGTAATACAGTAATCACAGTCATTGTAATACAGTAAGCAATCATGGTAATACAGTAATTTCAGTCATTGTAATACAGTAAGCAATCATGGTGATACAGTAATTTCAGTCATTGTTATACAGTAAGCAATCATGGTGATACAGTAATCACAGTCATTGGCTCACACAGTGAGCCTATGGAATTGACCAGGCGTCCGTCCGTCCGTTGGTCCGTCCGTCCGTCCGTCCGTCCGTTGGTCCGTCCGTCCGTCCGTCCGTTGGTCCGTCCGTCAACATTGGCTGCACAAATTAAAACTGCTATTCGGATTGAGTCATATCCACATTCATTTTATGCATATCCATAATGCCTATTTGACCTATCATTGCCATTTCCCAAGTTCGCCCAGTTTCCGAGAAATTGCGGATTTTGACGTCAAAAAGTCAAATTTTCTGTAAATACTAGACACTTTGTTGAAGTAGAACTTTCAAATAACTTTTAGTAGTTGGTGTATATGCAACTTATGTCCTCTGAAGATTTCAAAGCTCTTGGAATTACGGTTTTTGGTGTTTACTCTATAAAATTTGAAAAAAAGTAGGACTTAGTCATTTTCAGGAAACTTTCTCATGTATAAAGTCAATGGCAGGTTTTGTGATTGACAAGATTCTTAAAGTTTGCCTTATACTTGATCATTTCCTGCAATAAATTACATCATTAATAGATTTAAGCATTCCCTACATATATTTCAATATATGTCAGCATCAAATTTTTACCGTTTTTGAGATATTTGACGTCAAAAAACAGTAAAAATAAGTTATTTTTCAACTTGCTTCAATTTGACCAAATTTTTTTTTGAAAATCATCTACAAGTTGCCAGGAGTTCAAATCTGACATTAGTTTTAGGATTTGACCTTTACTTGACCTTCAGTGACCTTCGAAAGGTAAAAAAGTTGATTGTTCAAATTGATTTTTGGATGTAAATTTTGGTCAGCTTAATCACAAAAGACCTTACTGAGCTCTGAATAAGTAACATTTTCAAGGTCAAAGGTCATCAAACTAGGCCACACAACTATGCTATCTAAGTTTCTCAAAGTTCGACACTACAAATCCAAATCAATATCTTTGTTTGAAAGTCAGGATATAAATTCCTCTGAAGGTTCCAAACTGTGTGAGCATAGGACCGTGGGTCCTTCATTGTAATACAGTAAGCAATCATGGTAATACAGTAATCACAGTCATTGTAATACAGTAAGCAATCATGGTAATACAGTAATCACAGTCATTGTAATACAGTAAGCAATCATGGTAATACAGTAATCACAGTCATTGTAATACAGTAAGCAATCATGGTAATACAGTAATTTCAGTCATTGTAATACAGTAAGCAATCATGGTAATATAGTAAGTAGTCATGGTAATACAGCAATTACAGTCATGATAATCACAGTCAATGTTTTTGGATGACACATGATAGATCAAAGAATTATATTTTATTGAAAGAGACTAGCTTGTAGTTAGTTTTTAGAGGTGTGTAGTCAAACTCTATATAAAGGATGGAAATCTTGCCATCTCTGGTAATAAGACATAATAAGAAATGAAATGAAAGAAGAATATAATATTATGGTGATTAATTCAATTATTTATTCATTTTTAGTTTACATTTCTATTTGCCTCTTATTTTACGGGTCCTTTTCCCATTTTTTTTATTTTTTCTTGACTTTGACTTTGCTTGTTTGTATTGACGTTTTAGTTGAGATTTTTTCAACCGCCACATTTCTTTGTTTGTCAGTGTCTTTCCTGTATTTTCCCCAGTTTCTCCAGTATTTTCACCTGTTCCCACTACAGTATTTTCCCCAGTTTGTCCAGTGTTTTCTTCATTTTCTCCAGTATTTTCTCCTGTTTCCACTATAGTATTTTCCCCTGTTCCCACTACAGTATTTTCCCCAGTTTCTCCAGTGTTTTCTTCATTTTCTCCAGTATTTTCCCCAGTTTCTCCAGTATTTTCCCCTGTTCCCACTACAGTATTTTCCCCTGTTCCCACTACAGTATTTTCCCCTGTTCCCACTCCAGTATTTTCCCCAGTTTCTCCAGTATTTTCTTCATTTTCTCCAGTATTTTCCCCTGTTCCCACTACTGTATTTTCCCCTGTTCCCACTACAGTATTTTCCCCTGTCCCCACTACAGTATTTTCCCCAGTTTCTCCAGTATTTTCTTCATTTTCTCCAGTATTTTCCCCTGTTCCCACTACAGTATTTTCCCCTGTTCCCACTGCAGTATTTTCCCCAGTATCTCCAGTATTTTCTCCTGTTCCTACAACATTTCCACCTTCAGTGTCTTTATCTTGGGTTCCAACGAGGTCTATTTTTCTATCAAGTTCTATATTATCTTTTCCATAGTATGGGTCCCAATCTTCTCTTGGTACTTTTTTAGCACGTGTGTCGATATAATGTTTTGGTTGTTCATACTCAAAAACCCAGGAAGGATCTGAAACCAAGAGGACAGAGTAAATGCTATCATATATTCAAGCCTTTTAATGTGTCTCTTATCATTCCACTAGCTTAAAGAAGTTTGAATAGAGATTTTGAGAAGCCAACCTTCTGTTCATCCACACTGGCGATTACTAGATTTGGTTCAAATTTATGGGTTAATGCCTTGTGGGCATAGGACCTCTACTTGAGAAGAAATTTCCAATATGGCTGCTCAATTCAAAATGGCCACCATATTCCATTAAAAAATGCAATCTTTGTGTGTAGATGTATTGTCAGGTATTGCACAAACATAGAATATTTGTTTTATATTTTGTATCATCACTTGGCATTCCCTATCCTGGGAATCCACAAATGGTTGATACATATTTTACAGATTTAATAAAATGGAGGAGGGATGATCTTGTGGTGCTTAATTGACCAATCATCAGAGAGATCATAGCAATGATATAATGAAGAACAACATCTAACATAGAATACTACTTTTTCCTACCAGGACAATTGTAGTATCTTGCAAGTTTCATAGCATCCTTATATGTCATGCCACGTCTCTGTCCGGGGATTATCAGCGGGTTTGTCAACTCCATTGTTGGTCTGCGGTTCTTACTTTTGGCGTAACTATAGTAGTGCATGATACTGTAATAGTCGTATCCTCCTTCATCATATTGGTCATAAGGCCGGCTAAGATACTCAACATTAAAAGGACTCATTTTCTCAAAGTTTGCATCATTATCTAAAATCATGAAAGAATGCAATTTCATACTGTATCATGTACTTACAAACCTTACCTATGTTGAACAGAGCTGCTTGTTGGCTCATTATATGTCTTTCAAACTTTTTTTATGAAAGTTATTCTGAAGAATTTTTTTTTAAAATTGAAGCTCTTTATGGATATCTTACAGTAGATTTTTCATATATCCTTGGTCTGTTGGTTGTTACCAGTTTGTTTGGTCTATATTACGTGGGAGTTCAGAATGGTTTGAAATGATTTTATTGGCCTTATTCCAAATGTTATATGCACTGAACATCGTGAAACTTCGCTTTACTTGGATATCCCAAGGACGTCGTGTATCTCAAGATAGACATCCTTGCATACTATGGCGACCATTACTTATCTAATATTTATGTTACACCAAATATTTTTTGATAGATTAATACAATGTTCTACACCACAGATTTCATGAAAATTTCATCAGAATATATTGAAAAAAAAATTAGAGAGATATTATGAGAACTTTAGAAACTTCACGTTAGAAACTTACAATTAAACAAGTTTTCCCTGAGTATTGTTACATAGTCATCTCTGTCTGGCCTCATGTGTTCATGCAGCATACCCAAAATGTGCAAAAGCTCATGGATCAAGTAACCTGGTAAAATATGCATAGGGTTTATAGGGGTTTTGGGTTAAATCTTATTTGAAGAAGTATGACATCAGGATCTGTAATAACTCGTTATTAGGTGGTGACATTTGTCTTCTTAATGCCTTCTCCTGGTTTTATTATCAATTCATATCCTAATGTTATCATCAAAGGACCCTGATTTCATGATTTCTGGCAAATATATTAACCTATAGGTTTTATTCATTTAACAGTACCAGTGTTCCATGTGTTCTCATTAGGTTTTTCATCAACAGGATCCGAATTTTACTTATTTCTGTCAAAACAAGTCAATATTACTTGCTTTTAACCCTAGACATGCGCTTAGATCAGTAGATTGCAAGCAATTTCCAACAGGGTGACAATATAATTTTTTAACTTTCAACACACCCCAGTTGCACTAATGCTGGGGGGTGACTGGTGTCATACCTGGTAGTGCTCCATCCCTTGGGTAAGGTGCTGGGAAGCAGTCTTTGTGCAAGAACATATACCTCTGCTGGTCTACGTATCCAACTTCTGCTTGACATCTGTTATGTACATGTATAAAGATTTTTAGATTATGTTTGATTACAAGTTTTTTTAATTATTTCATTACAAGATTTCATATTACATAATCATGCAGCAAATCGCCTTTTTGGCATTTTGGTTGAATTTAGATAATGAATAGAATAGAAAAACTAGAAAGTTTGAAATATTTAGATTTCTTATTTACAATAAACTGCATTCACTTTAAATCAATGGCACATGGGCCAAAGAGAATATTTTGAGTTATTGGTCCTTCAACCTGTATTGTAATGTGAGTTAAATATGAATGAATTGTGCCATGGTTTTATTGTTTTGGATTGTTACATGAATTCCTTGAGTGATGGAGCAAGGGATGCAAATGTTAGAAATTGTTTCTCTGCATTTTGGGATTTTGTAGTTTGTTTTCTGACTTGTGCTCTTAGATGTGTCTTTTTAAATTTGTTTGTTATGTAATCCGCTTGGTTTTTCCTTCTTTGACACATGTACAAAGGTACACCTATATACACTAAAAATGTAAGCTCAAGAACAGGAAGGTTTAACCAATAGAATGTTAAAAAGTCCTGGTATGAACTCTGGACCAACTTACGTGCGGTTTTCAATAATACTAATCTGCAGTTTCCCTTCATACAAAGGAGCACGTTTGAAATTGATACATCTGTGTATTCCGCTTTCATATTCTTCTGCTGTCATTGTGTTGGGATCTTTAGCACTTGTGACATTCATTATATATTCCATTGCAATCTTCAAGTTCTCTTGCACTTCTTTTTGTTCTTGGTCATTAAGTAGACCTTAAATGTTCATACATCATTAATTAATTATACATATTTTAGTATTTAATTTTCATTTTAATGGTCAGTTTAATTTTATTGGTCATGATTTTATGTTACTAAAACAATATCTTATTCCTGTCTGTCTGACATCTGTCGCATAAAAAAAACAATATTTGAAGTTCAGAGATCGTTAGTTATATCATGCACACTTTGACAAATGGCATGAATTTAAATAAATCTTGATTCAAAAGATGGCGACACCTCTATCACTTGATATACATGTATAAAACTCGAAGTTCATAAGTAAGTCTTTTGTCAAAGAAAGCTGAAAATCTGAAAGCGTCCCTTTAATAAAAATGTACTCAATTCAATGAGAAAAATTTAGTCAGTAGTACAACAAAACAAATTAAAGTTAGTTTTACAAAAAATGAAAACATTTTTATGTTATAAAACCCTGTAAATTATGATTCCTTTGAATTTAGTGGAGTAAAACCTGCGTATATTGAACATTTTAACATTCAGTGTCAGTGGGTGTTCAATACATACAGAAATCGGTTGAGAATGTGCAGAGGAAGGGTGTCCATTAGAGACAGGTGTCTACTAGAGACAGGTGTTCACTAGAGACAGGTGTTCACTAAGACAGGTTTTTCTGTATTATTTCAGACTTACCATAATAGTTACTGTCCGTAGACAAGTAGAAGGTCACCTCGTTGTTGGGCCATCTTTCATAATAGAAAGGGTCTGTGTTGTCTTGCAATGCCAATCTAAACTATAGCATATCATTAAAATCAAAGGGGGTGCTACTGACAATTCCTCATTAATAACTGAATTGCAAGTTTTGAAAGTTTGCAAACTATTTTTACAAATCAATGTCCTGGAGATTTAGGTTTTCAGATTCTTACCTTATGTTTCCTCCGTTGTTTTCGACTCTTAGACAGATTAATCATGTCATCCCCATCTGAAAAATGAAAATCATTGAATTAAGGAACCGTACTCATTTATTGGTGTACCATTATTAAATAATTATATTTGAGAGAGGAGGAATGTAAAAGTGACTTCAAAGTAACAATTTGTGACATCATCAAAATATTGTTCTGGCCTTGGTGATGGTAGACATCCACTCATGGATAAAAATCAAATCTCTCAAAAATCCTGTATACAATGTATTAATAGAAAATCATCTATACATCATGCTTTGAATTTCCAGGTCAAACACCAATCTTATTATACATTTGCATGAACTTTGTTTTTTAAAGTTTACATTTTTGAGAAATTAAATAATAACTTACTTGTCAGCTTAGAATTGTTAACATCATCTGAAAATAGATGAAGTGAAAATTTGAGGCCTTAATAAATTAAATGTTTGTTTCGCAATAAATGTACTTTATACCAGGTCTTCCCAGAACCTCACTCATCAAACCTTTTCTCTAGCCCTGATGAGGATCCCGGGATTTTTCTTATGTACATAACAAGTAATGGTTTTCAAAAGTGTGCAAACATCTAACCCCAAACACACCTAAAAATGTTACAAACAGATATCAGAAAAATATTACATTTTAACATATGCAACTGGTGTTCTAATTCTAGGTAGAAATCTAAAAATCAATGGTTTTGACATTTAACTTTTATTAATAATCTGAATAATATGATAAGTTTGAAATAAATACACATAGATGTTCATGGATACAAAAGAACTCTGATACCTACAGGGATAATGCCACTGCCGTAATGGTGAAGTTTAGAAATGTAGAATTGAGTGAAAAATCATGAAATCTGCAAGGAATGATCAAATGTGGTGTATAGTCAACTCTCAACAAACTACACATAATCAGATACTTTTTTAAACCTTGGGGTTGGAAAATACTTGGCCTAGTGACATTTTGAGCAAGGGTCTATATATCGAATCGATACATTCAATAGAAATTATGACCCATAAAAATCTTTATGATGACCATAATAATATCTATATGGATATAAAAAGTAGCGTGAAATTGAAATAAATAGTGTGAGCAGATTAGATATAAATCCTGACTTGATCAGTTCAATAAAATTAAATTTTATCATAAAAATAATTGGAAAAATAAATATCTGAATTTCAAGGATAGGTACTTTTTAATATCAATTGATTTTTGATGTTTTGTGTCATGACTAGTAATTGTTAAACAGGATTACAAGTGCATATTTTCATCAGAACATCAGACCCGTAGACAGTATAATTAGATAGTTACATTTATTATATCTATTATATAGTATTCAGTACATATTTTCATTTAAAGAAAGGAAAAGAGCCGAGTTGAAAGTTTAAAATGACATTTCTACAGAAGTTTTTGTTCTTTATTCCATGGCACATAAATTTTCTAAAATAAAAAAATCTGACTATACAGTTGTGATTTTATTTCAGAATAATCCTTTGATTTTTTAGGTTATCTACCTAAAAATGAAAACTGGACTCTGTCAATTTGGATATTTTCATTTCTGCATCTTAAAGGTGCAACGATCATGGACAAGTGTCAAAATATATTTAAGTTTGGTTATTTCTTCAAGACTAACATATATTTTTATTTCTGTGTAAATCCATCACTCTGGTAATATATTAAGTTCATTTACTTCAGAGTAAAAAAAATAAAATGAAAAATAAAACATTTTACTCTGAAGTAAATGAACTTAAGTTATTATAAATATATTTTTATTATTTCCAAAGAAACCCCCTGGATGAACATTATTTCAGCTGATATTCCTCTTGAAACATGGTGAATCTTAAAAATCTATAAGTGGTACTCCCTCTATAGAAGCTTTGAACTGTACTAACACTTCTTAATGCTGAAATTGATAGTTTATCCATACATTTTAAGAAAATAAGAAGATCTTAAGCTAAATGTTGCCCTGATAGCTCAGAAAAAGTAAAATATAAATGTTCCAAGAGACAACATACTCATCCATCACATGAATCGAAAAAAATGTCAGTCAAGAATAAAATGCTATCTTTGTTTATATATGTTACCATGGAAATTGAGGTATTTTATCTCATTACACCTGTCATTCTGTCATCATTTTTGTCATGTAGATTGTCATTTCATAAAAAGATAACATATCTGACAACCATGTCGACACGCAATGTTATCACTTATCTGTAATGTTACCATGGTAACACATCTTTGGGAAACAAGAGAATCATTCTTGAGTTTTTGTTGTTTGATTGACAGTATTATACCATAATCAAGCTGGCAGCAAAAACAATACATGGACATCATTCTGTTTGGAGGTCATTTGAAGTCTTACTCAATATATAATCAAGATCTAAAATGAAAAACTCATTTCAAGATTTAAAATCTCAAAAAGTCATTTTTGAACTCTCATAAAATATTGAATTGATTTCTGAAAAAATGCTACATGTGATATGTGTGATACCAATGCATATTGAGCATGCTAAACTATTTTACAAAAAGAAAATCAAATAGGTCAAAAATAAGTGATGAATTCTATGAATTTTGAGATTTTCATTTTTAATGAAACCATTCCCTATTGTCTCTAACATGTTGAACCAAATGAAAAGCTAATAGTTTAATAGATAAAAACATTTTTTTCAACAAACATATTTTTGGGTTCTTTCAAACATATTTTCATATAAATGTTGAGAAATCTAATGTATATAATATTTACATGAACATGCACATGTTTTCATTGGTATATATGTGTTAAAAATAGGGAGGGAAATACCATTTCAACATTTCATCAAAATATTATAGAATGTGAATATCCACATAAAAATGTGGAAAATATTAACCATTTAATTTTTTATTCATAATAATCATGAAAATAAATAAATAAATAAATAAATAAAATAAATAAATAAAATAATCATGAAAATCACACAAAAATCTCCTCATGTGGATATACCTTAAAATGATGTTTGTTTTTTAGAACTCCAATATTTTGTTTTCTCCATTTTTCACTCGTCAGATTTAGCATTTTAAATTACCCTAAATCAAATTTAATTTGCCAAACAATCTGAGACATACCATCATTCTCTTCCTCTTCTTCCTCTTCCTCGTTAGATCTTTTGAACTGAAAAATACAGAATAACAGTTTTAGTGAACGCCTCTCTCTAGTGAACACCTGTCTCTAGTGGACACCCTTCCTCCATACTTACTCTACTGACTTCTGTATTTATCATATGATCTGTAAAATGAAGCCTTCTGATTGGTCAGTTCTTGTGCTGTACCAATCTGTATTGCTACTGAGATTGTCCGCATTGATCATCTCTGTCGTAATACAGAAAATATTGGTACGGAGGGGACAGTAGCTAGCAATACAAAGGATCACACGATAAAAACGTTATGGAATGATTTGAAATGCAATACAGAATATATTCTGTCTCGATATTCTGTATCGGCACTCGACTTCGTCTCGTTCCAATACGGAATTTCTCGAGCAGAATATATCCTGTATTGTATTTCAAATCATTCAATAACTTATAATATTACTGCAAATATTGCAATAAACACAGGTTTTACTGTATTTCCATAATTTCATCGTTCCTGAAAGCAGGGGAAGCGGGCACCGGCGTTAAACGTTGTTTTGGTCTTTACGTTGTGTGTCTCAAAGAATCTCGGTTTCCAATATGATTTTCTTGATCGTTAAAATATGGTGAAGGGTGCATGCATTTTTATATCATGTTTTCTTTTCGACTGCATTGGAGACAACTCTATGTATGTCTTTGTCTCATAATAAGTGATATTCATTATTTTTAAAGGTTGTAAATAATGTCATTCCGCGTTCCTCAGATCCAATTATATTTTCCTCCTTCTATCATGAAATAATAACAATACAGTAAAACCTGTACAAGAACACCTTTTTGTACCTCAAAATCATTTCACCTGGAAGGAATTCCACTTATAGATGTTCAGTTTACAATCAGAAGCTATTGGGTGGAAGTACAATTACGCATGCGTTGTGAAGGTTTTACTGCTCTATGTAAACTAGTTCGATTATTCTTGAAATAATGAAAATGTTCATTTGAATATAATGGCAATGACTTACCCTTCCTCCATATGAAAATCCTTCAATTAATCCAACAACATTGATAAAGAAACATACTAAACTTATTAAAACTGACACCTTCATTTTAGATACATTCAATGTATTGAAGCAAAATGTAAATTGATATTGAAACTTCAGCCTTTTATGTTTGTTGAAATCAAGGGGTGTTTTCAAAAAAACGTTGTATACAGTAGTTTATGTAATGTCGCATTTTTAGTTGTATTTGAATGGGCTTCCAATGAAAGCTAGAGAATAGTATTGTATTACTCTCTAAAAGGTCCATGTGCAGTATGGCAAGTGATTTTAGCTTCACATCTTTCACCATGAGTATTTTCTGGGTATAAATACAGTGGTTTCTATAAAAACAATATGTTTTCTTTCAAGTGACGTCCCTATGATAGTAAAATATCAATCCCACTCTCTCAAAAATTATGGATTAGGACCCCATCGTTTCACTTTTTTAAAAATGTAAGGCTTATTTTCTCAAAAGAGGATTTCGTTTTTCTCAATTTAAATGTTTCAAAAGTTTCTTCTACATTTATAACTTCTGAAAAGGGGTGGGTATTGAAATCCGATAAAGTTTAAAACCACATTTCCCATGTTATTTTCCCATAGGGAAAACTCATGTTATCCATTGTTTTCAGCATGATTTTGGTCATCGAAAATTGACATCTTCAAAACTAGACTTTCAATACCATTCTACTTTTGAAGATGTTTTAGACCCCTTGTTGAATAATGTTTTCAGGCAATGAAAATCAGAAAAAGAAGATCCTCTTTTGAGCAAATAAGTTCAACATTTTCGAATTGTTCGATTGATATTTTTATCATCATGGGGACTTCACTTGAACGAAAACATATTGTTTTAATAAAAACCACTGTATTCATGCCCAGAAAGTACTCATGGTGAAAGATATGACCGTCTTAAATCACTTGCCATACTGCACATGGACCTTTGTCAAAGTTTTGTTTGTCACTATATTCATTTGCTTAAATTCCATGACATGAATATTTACCAAAATATCAGACAGTTTCACGATCATCCTGTAAATTTGGTTTATCAGAGAACATGAAAATATTTCCAATACAACCCCTCACACTATAACGCACTTTTTCATGCGTCAATTAAAACTTCTGATGATGTCAGGCAAATCATTAATTCAACAGATTATCAATCTGGAATTTCTCCCATGAATGAAATATCAAACAATCATGTCCCATGAATAAAATATTAAAGTCATGTTTAAAGTTTTAAATCTTCAGAGTATATACATCAATGTACCAAATTGATACATGAACATGCTGTTATATACCAATCGATTGTCAGAATTGTGGAACATGATTTTCTTGTAGATTTCAATACTCTTCGCAAGAACTTCATTTTGTCTCACACTACCTCATTAAGATACTGTACCCCATCCGACACAATATTGTCAAAAAGCATGATGAGGTACAAGGTTCATGACTATAAGGATAAGTACATGATTGCCACAATTCACCATACTGGCATTTAGTCCATTGCCCAATGGGCAACTGTTTTTCCAAATCCATTACCCAGAACAAAAACGGGTTGCCATTGGCAGTCAGGCATCTATGAGTTTGCAATCCTGATGATGTGGACGGAAATAAATATGAACTTGTGAATAAGAAATATTCTTAAAGGAATATACCCCGAGACCCCACTCCTCTCTTTATATGATAGCTATTACCATTTTTTTACTCTCAATATTTTGGCAAATCATGGGAAATATAGAAATGGTCAAGAGAGAAATGGGTTAATAAATTTTATGGAAATAGTTATTTAATGCATGACCTATTAATTGAAACATCAAAAGGGCATTGTCGCTCTTGTCAATCAATCAATCAGTTTATCAATCCATAAATTAATTTAGACTCATGTTGCAATCCACGTGTCCTTGAAACAGTGTGAAACTCAGATCAAAAGATGATCGTGACGTAAATATGAAATACATCAGACCAATCTAACAGGAAACTGGACAAAACATAAATGATAATATCTGAACTACATAGATCCTAGATAGATCCCACAAAAACTAAAACAATGTTTTTGCGTGTGTTGGAAAGAGATAGCATGTCATTTTTAATTATTTCAGAATAAAATTGTGAAATCCAATTATGATGTTTGTTTTGTTAGATAGAATCGTTTTTATAGATCATTGTCTGCCTTAGAACCCATTACTAAGCACTATTACTCAAAGATTTCAAGGCTGTCTCATAAAATGATTAAGGTGGTTGCTTACCCGGAGACTTAAAATTACATAAAGTTTATACTTTATTATTTTAAAATGAAATAAAAAAGTTGGTGTCGCGGACTTTGGCGATTTTTAACTAAAGCTGGAAAACACTTCGTTTGCACATGTTGTTTGAAAATATGAGAGCGGGACAGTAATCCCGGGGGTCGAAATATTACACGCTCACGTACAGGTTCTATTTAGAAAGAGTAAGTTAATCTCATTACTCAGAGGGGATCCAGGATTTTTGTTTACGATGACTTTTTTAGGGGGGCTAGAATACCATTTAGGCCTGGAAAATGTGTACTCTTGCCCAAAAAAGAGTAGACCAATATTACAGGATTTCATGTTTAGTCAACAGTAACTGAATGGATAGCATAGGTCTTGGACAAGTCACAAGCGCCATCTGAATAAAATAGAAAACATTGTCAGCCGTCCATAGTAAGTAAAATAGAAGGTGCGTCGTGCAGTGGTCTGTAACGTCAAACACGTGACACAGAATAAATACAACAGAACGGAGAAGCAAGACTTCCGCCTATTACCCAGAAAACAAATGACTAACTTTGGAGTTCACCCCATAAATTTTTGGAACATTTGTATCATAGTCATTCATTAGTTTGTTGTATCAAAGAGCAAAAGTCTTTTCTGGGTCACCGCGAATGGCATGATTTCCTCGAGTCTCTTCAGTTGCAGGGCAACCATACTGGGACCGATTCGTGTCGTTCCACTACTGCCCTTGGTGGGGGCTCGCTACCATACTGTATGACTCCCGATGTCTCCTATAGCCCGTCAGTGGAGGAACCAACCTACAGTCTCACAATCTGTCTCCGGCAAGAGCGGCCAGAGAACCCGCCCAAGCCAAGGGCCGGCAACCGGTTGGACCTTCGGACCGAGTGTCCTGTAGGACTATTATCTACAACGCCGTACCTGGGGCTCGAACGCGGGACCTCCGTATCCCTCCGGACGCTCAACCACAAAGTAGTCTCTCTTCGCCACGAGGCTATTTTGCTTAGGTGTCAAAACTGCTCAAAAATGTAATAGTTGTTACGATATTTTGCTTGGATAAACACGAACAAGTTTATCATAATCCTATTTTCTAAATCACTTGTATTTGGAATTCGAATGACTAATCATAAACAACGTCATCACACGCTTGCGAACGTCTCGTAATTGGCCATTTTGTTTAAATGCGTCTCCGGAGAGATCAGAAGAATGAGGAAGGCTCCCATGAGTTTTAAATTATGTTTTTGATTCAAATTATGAAAACGGAGCAGATTGGCATGTAAAAAGTGATTCAAAGTTTGTTATAATTTTCATCTCAGTAGTGCTAATCAATATCAACTGAAAATTGAAGGGTCAAGACAAAACGACTGGAGAATGAGAAATCAAAATGAAAAAAATGTAAGACCAGTTGTCTGTTTGAAGATGATGTACTGAAAATTGCCTGGTGACTTGTTTTTTATATTTTTTCTACTCAACAATGTCCACTCAGCAACACGTATTAATCGAATATGTTAATTATCGAAAAACCGTGCTTTAAAAATAATCATAAAATGTTTCTGACCACTTTCACTCTGGTAAAACATCAAATATGACAATAAAATGCGTGGTATATGTGTTATAGGCGAGCTTGGCAATTTTGAATTATGATAAAAATGAACGTGAAACGAGAAAAACGTTTTACAAGGTTATACATGTATGTATGCATGTACTATCCCACATACTAATCGTCTCATTCCGCATTAACGATTATCAAAGTCTGTTGCAATTGAACGAGGTAAATAGAGAAAATGGATTATGAGAAATAATACAAATTTTACTGATTATTAATTTCACAGACTCATTCAAAACGAAATCGAATACAAGTATACGATTGTAAAAGCATACTTTAAAGTCTACTTCTAGCTCGTAGTTCATTTATTTTAACTTTGAAAAATATATCTTTTCTTTATTTATGTAAGCATGTGCGTACTTTGTATAATGGTATCTGTAGCTGCCACAGATAAAAATTGACACTCATCAAATCATTGCTCCTGCGTGATAGCACGGAGCCATCCATTGCCAGTAAACTACCTTAAATTTACTTTCCTCGACTTTAATCAGGTCTGCTGTCATCAATTAAATCTTCCCATTAAATCAATATTCATTTTTTCATAAGTCATCTTGATTAGTAAGCATGACAGACATGACTGACTTTGTGTAATTTGAATCATAATCTTAATGGAAATGAGGATATAAGATAAGTCACATCACAAATATCATCCTCCAAAGCAGGTGTCCAGAATCCGTACCTCCTTTTCCCCCCTGCTATAAGCAGTTAGCATTTCCCCGATTAAGAACTCGCAATTTGATTCGGGCGCTTCCAACTTGGTTATAGCAGGGGGTAAAAAGAAAGAAGACGAAGACATTCTGAATTTTGAAGCCCTGTGATCGGAGGATGCACAAATATGAACGAAGCATTAACATGCAAAAATGGCACCACCTGCCATTTGTTACAGATGCTGACCGCAGAACTCCGTCCACTTAAGGTGTAGACTATAACAATATGCAACACTCGTGGTGGATGGTTGTCACATAACAAATTCAAGATATCGGAAGGGGTGGTTTTCGTGCGATTAAGAGTGCTAGAAGTCTTCACATTTGCACAAACCTGTAATATTTACACTGTGGCCCAAGATGTAAAACGCCAATCTGCCATACTAGGACACTCTCAAAGAAAGGAAGAAATGGAAGAAAAGAAGCCTAATTTTATACATTGTTGCATTAAACACATAATTCATCAGATAACACCATATATTCTTGTTCATAATTTATTTTTTAGTTCTATTATTACAGAGTTCATTCCACAGAGTTTTGATTGACACTTTTTGCTGACACATCAATTTATTGCAATAATTATAATAAATATTACTCAACTTCTGATTTTATTAATAATACAAATTTGACTTGCACTGTCCCTAATTTGAAACCATGATTTTTGTTTTTTTATTTTTTATCACACATTTATTTACACTGTTGGCTAAAAACTTGACAGATAACACTCCATATTATATTTCATTTATGATTCTCTATGTTGACTGATAAAATCCATTTTGTAGTTCACACATTATGAGAGATACAGGGGACGATGATAATGAGAAACATGATTATACAAACAAAAACAATGCTTTAAATATTAAGCTCAAGGAAACCATGCACTTGGAAAAAGTTGTGCGCCTATATCCAATTCTTGTTTCCAAATTTCGAGTGGACGTAGTTCTTAAATCTATCTCAATATAGCATTGCAGTTTTTTTTATTACAACAGCTAACTAGACTACAGTCACATTTTTGGTAGTATGTCTATCATTAACTGACTACATTAGTTTGCTGCTTTGGTTTACTCACATTGAATAAATATATATTTCCACGTTTCATGCATTCTCTAAAAGTCCATTCTAAAATTGATTTGTCTTTTTCATCAGTTTTTACTGTTTCTCACAAGTGTTTTTTGCGTAAAATCCATATCTTACATTTTAACTATTCTCGACTATATTGACTGAAGTATCCATCATTCCTAATGTTTCTTCCACTTTGCAATTACCATGAACATAACACAACATACAAACAAGACCACACATTTTGGGATTATTTTTTTGGGTTGCTATGCCAACTATTCAGTTGCTATGCCAACTATTCCTGATCTTCCTCGTCACTTTCCTCTTCTGCCTCATCCAGCCAGGTCAACCATTGGTTCACCTGAAAACAACAACAATAATCTACAAGCTGTTATAATGTAAATAACAAGGCATTAATATGTGAAATGTCACCAACTGCCATTTGTTACACACACCAACTGCCAAAGGCTGAACACCGTCCAAAAAAAAGTTCGAGGCTATATCAATAGGTCACCACATAATGAAACCTTGCTATATTTGCATCAAATGATCAGAGTTGTGAAAATTAGTCTATTTTATGAAATTGAAAATTAGTCTATTTTAAGAAATAATTACAATTAATTTAAAAAAAATAGTATATATTATGTAATATGTAAACAGTCGATGTCCATCTGACAGTTTCTCTTTAAATTTGGCATGATTCTAAATCGATCGGTTGCTCAAATTAAAATAAAATACCCGAATTTCATGTTAACAATTTGAAATTTTAGGCTATAACTTGTAAACCAAGCCCAAAATTTGGGTTTTATGTCACATGGTAGTCTTTGATGATTATTTTTATATTTTTCATTTCTTTGGAAAAATCTTCATAAACTGAGGAGTGATTTAGTCAAATATATATATGTTTAGTGCGGTGGCATTTGTTACTCATGGAATTTTCTTGTGCATAAAAGAATTCTTACCTGAAATAATGCCTTTCCTTTTCCAGGGTAGTCATCATTGACTTCCTCCTTCCATCTGAGAAACACTTCCTCATCAACTAGTTCCAGATCATAGAGTTGCATGAAAAATCTCAACAACATGCCTGCAATACAAATGGTTAAACACTTAAGAGGAGCTCAAAGATTCAATTCTTATGCTACATGCCAAATATGTTTGAATAAGGTGTTCACATATCAAGCGTTTTCAAGTATTTGTATATACGGTAATTACTTTTGAAAATTGTATTTCTATACACATATCATTAATTTTCAAGTGCGCTGTTGTAAATAGTGAAAACAAATACAAAATTAATTAATAACAAGGCATTAATATGCGAAATGTCACCACCTGCCATTTGTTACAGATGCCAACCTCCAAACGCCATCCACAAAAATGTTGGAGACAATAACAATTGTGGTGGTGACATGAAAAATATTTTTTACCTTTAGGGAAATGGTTGGTGTGGCAGAACACCTGAAGAGTGTAAAGCGTGCACATTTGGAGATCACTTTCATCATGTAAGAACTTCTGGAGCACTCCCTAAACAACAAAATATGGATTATTACACTGGAGAATCATAGTGGCATTGTTTTATAATAATACTGATCTGTCCCTAACCAATCATCTGCTTAGTGAGTTGTAACCATATTCAGTATTCAACGTTTTGCATAACAAGTATATCACTCACAGGAATGAACACATTTCTAAGTTTTTGACAATTTCAGATAAAATTTCCCAGTAAATCAGCAGGACTGTTTGTGCTTTACTCAATTTAATCTCCATATTTTCTCTGAATTTAAATCAAGTCACCCTTAAGTCAGGTTATCTCCTCACCTTGTATTTATCGAATATCATGTGTTCTTTCTCGAGTAAAGCTTTTTCCGGCACCACCTTTGGATCAACTCCATTACCCAGAGTGGTCTCTGATGTCACATAGCGCAAGATACTCGTCACCAGTGCGTTAATGAATCCAGGAACCTTGTACAGCTCAATGTCCACGTTCTCTTTGATCCATTTATAGACAGCTGTTGCGTTGGGGTCACGTTGAAATGTGCGCCACATGCTGGACTGTACACGCAAAAGAGGGTAAAGGAAGCTGAGACCACGATCTTCGAGGATCTCCATCATTCGCTCACGGTTTCTATCAGATTCTGTAAAATCAAAATAAGCTCATTCAGCAATTATGCACATAAAATTATTACCAGGTCAACATTTAAATTTTTTTTTTATATCTGGATAATAACTAATAAATGAAAAGTGCCATCAAACTTTTTATACATACACTAATACACACTGGTGATCCACTCGATTACGCTGGTTACCGAAACGGTTCGTTTTGGTAACAAAATGTCGGAACGTCGAAGGTACGATTTTTCTTTTTTCCTTATTTCACACGTTGTAGGCAGAATTCCCACAACATTTTTAAAATAAACGTGCCTCAGCATCATGTCTTAGAAAATGTACATATTTGCGTACAAATAGTTCAGAAGACAACAGAATTATCGATTTAATTCCTCACTTAAGTTACATAAACGGTTTTTCGAAAAACAGTTAAGATCTGCACTTTTAACCCAAACCGTTTATGTAACTTAAGTGAGGAATTAAATCGACGATTCTGTTGTCTTCTGAGCTATTTTTTCGCAAACATGTACATTTTCGAAAACATATGATGCTGATACACGTTTGTGTGAAAAAACGTCGTGGGGATTCTGCCTACAACGCGTGAAATAAGGAAAAAGAAAAATCGTACCTTCGATGTACCGACATTTTGTTACCAAAACGATTCGTTTTGGTAACTAGCGTAATCGAGCGGATCACCAGTGAATACACAAGCGCTGAAAACATGAAAAAACGTAGTCTTACCAGGCAGCATATCTTCCAAGTTAATTTTACTCTCGTTGAACGTTTTCTGTAACCACTCCTTGTTTGCCAATTTGAGAAGATGTTGCAGACATAGCATGAACAGTGGGTAATGAGCACCCTGTTTCATTGGTTCAGAGAGTTCGACCAATGAGATGATTTCGTCGATAACTGCTCTGCCGGCATATTTGGACACATAGGATTTGATGAGTGGGACATCAGCCTCAAGATCAGACATCTTAGACAGAATTGTCTCAAAAGCCTGAAACAGTTAATAAAATCATACAAGGATTGTTTATTGTACTGTTTTCTGGTTTAGTACAGATTATATAGAAAACACTTCAGTTATTGATTGGTTGTTGTATAAAGCTGCAGGTAGGGAAGGTAGGGGAGTAGGGAAGGTAAATACAATTTTTAAGGAAATATAATAAGAAATTTTCTCATCAATACACAAAAGAAAGGTTAAGAATGAGGAGTGGATTCTTTAATTTACACAGTAATGAAATAATGAGAAGATTGAGAATTTTCAAAAAGATTGTATTGAGAATTTTGAAAAAGTAGTCAAACGAACCTCGGTGAACTGTTCTGCTGTGATAATTCCTTCATTCTTAAATGCTGATATCAGATGACTAATATTTTCCCGATCCTTGTCTGATTTCTCCAGGGCCATCATCATCATGTGACACACCATTGGGGTGAGATATTTCCGCGGGGGTCTCATTTCTTTAACTGATGTCATGGCTTCCATTGTATCTTCCGTTTTGAGGTATTCAGACAGGACATTATCCTACAATTGCAAATATAGAATTTCATTAAAAATGAGAAGTTTTCTTGTAAAGAATTTTCTCAACTGATTCAAAATCTCAATTTTTCAAATTTTGATTACAAAGAAAAAACCAAATTGATATGTCCACATTTTTCCTGTAAAGGGTAAAGTCTCAGTTGCAGGTGGTTTTCAAATTCTAAATTAGTTTTAATCAGTTGAGCATCAGAGTTGACAGAAACCAGTTTTTATATTGAAATATATATACATGTACATTATTTCACTCAAACTAATTTTTATTTCTCCTCCAAATTCAAATAAAATGACTAACAACATGAAGGGATAATGAAAACAATTACTACTTACCCTGACTTTATCAAGTTCTTCCTTGGTGGGGGCTGGCTTCTTTTCATTTTTCTTCTCCTCGTTCCTCTTCTCAGGAGCTTTTTTCTCTTTCTTGATTGTAATTTGAGGCTGCAAATTGCAGAAACAAAAGTACTATTAAAGGGAGAACCAAAGATACTTTCAAAATGTTCACAATTGTTCATGTTCATACAAGGACATTTGATGTTACATGGGGGATTCAGTATTTAACATACTAATGTACATTGCAAAGTTGGCCTTTTCCTGATGACTGCTCATGAATATCCTCATTCAAAACATGTGTTATTACAAAATAGTAGACCACAGGTGTAAATCCAGTGAGATGGTCTAGACTGCCAAAAGTTCAAAACCTAATTTTCATTTTTCAAAATTGAACAAAATAGGCTCATTCTTGATATTGATTCATCTAATAACAAGGTGGCAAGAATCCACAGTAAAGCTTGATTGCAAATGCATTGTCACATCACAAAGCACAGATGACTTACCTGTTTCTGTAGTAGGGGATTCAGTTCAGGTTTCGGGGGAGCAGCGGTGGAATTCAAATGTGAGGGAGGCGGAATCGGAGTCTGTGCAGATTTTGGGAGAGTATTCGGAGAACATGGCTTAAACATTTGGAAATTCTTGTTTGGTCTTAGGCTGATATTTTCATCATTGTTGGAGGGTTGGGCTGGAGATTGCTGAAATGGTTGGCCTTGTTGTCCCATGTGTTTCCTAAACCTACAAATACAGTATTTTGATTGGTTTATTTATTGATGATTTATTAATAGCAACTTAAAATCGGATTTGTATCGACAGATGTTTTAAAACAAGCCACTATCACTGACAGACTTGAGAGATTGATATCACAACCGTATTATACCGTGGAGGTAAATTTCCCATTTCTTTGTTGAGTGGCTGTCTAGGCTGTTGTTGCTGTTGTTGTTGTTGTTGTACTTGCTGAGGGGGCATTCCATTCTGTCTGTTCTGGGGTACACCATTCTCACGTTTGTTTATATAGCCTGCAAACAGTTTTTAATTGTATATAAAACCTTTCACATGTACACCCTTTTCTAATTACACAGTAAAATTAGTGACCAGTTGAGTTATGTTAAAAATGGGCATATTTATAAGAATAAAGTAAAATTAGAATTATGTATCTAATCTGGATATGCAATGACCTTGTTTAAAAGTAAAACACCGTATAAGAACAAACCTGGAATTGGTCCATTCATCCTAGGAGGCCGTCCCATGTTGTTTGAATATGTAGGCCCAGTAGGCATGAATGGGTCATGGATAACACCTGGTCCCATTCCAATATTGCTTCCCATGACAGTAGGCATCCCTCCAAAGACATCAGTCAAACCTCCACGTCCCCTTGTCATTTGAAAGACTGGCCCCATGTCCTGAAAAAGAAAATACATTGGTTTGAGTGCACTCACGATAAATCAATTCATGATAAATCAATCAACAAGACACACAGTGATAAATATCACACTTTGAGGGTAAAATGGTCACCATGTGATTTACCCAGCATGCCCAAAACCCATTCAGATCTTGGCACTAGATTAAGTTCATGTGGCGTCTAGCCATCCGTATATGACAACGACAATAACGATTTTCCAAAGAGCGATAAAAAGATGTGTTGATCACACAGTTATGAGTCTTTTACTATTCTAATGCAAAAATTACAATTTCAACACTGGATCAATGTCTTCTCATTAAGGTGAGAGGTGTTGAATGTAAGGTAGTAAGGTGAATTTTCCTGGAGGACTGAAAACTTCATGAGGTAGCGAGTTGAGTGTAGATCTTACTTGTCCAGGCATGGGTCCAGTCTGTCCGGTAGGGGGATAGTATACACCATAATCTTCTGCTGCCTCCAAATGAACTTGCTGGATCGTCCTAGGCCCTTTGTCAGCCATCACTTTACGTGGTGACCACTGGAGACAAACAAGCACAAAAATGTCACAAATAAAATCATATAACTGTTATTTTTATTGGAAACTAGTACTATTACAAAAACTGGTGTTGCAATATCAAATATCAATTCAAGTATAAAATATTTGATCCAGTTCATTTCTATTTTTTTTATTTATTCAGTTTTATTCATAGTAATCATTTCAAAATACAAATACAAGATCCAAGATATTTGCTTCATCTTCAATATTTTACAAATTGATTTAGTTTTGCAATATTTCGATTTATTCTTTAAATCTGTTTCAAGCAACTGCATTCAACATTTTACCTGATCTTTTTTTAACTTCTGAGAGGCAAACATTTATATTGCATAAGTATGCCTTTGTTAAAAGAACATATCTGATACAAAGAAACAAGACATTAACATGCAAAATGTCACCACATGCAATTAGTTACAGACACCGACTGCCGAATGCTGTTACAGACCCGAACACCAACCACTTCCGGTAGTGACATAACAACATTATTTTTTCAGTTTTTCTTATTCACCCTACCACACGCTTACCTTGTTTTCGCGTAGGTCTTGTATATCTTGCAGCATGAAGCGGATTCTAGAAGACAGCTCACCGTTGCTCGCAAAGCTTGCAATGCGTTGAAAATATTGGTCCATCCATGCCTACAAAGAATGAAAATTAAAGCTGTTAATTTTCAGGATAATTAGCTATATTGGAGCACTTAAAATTGAAACAATAAGTCATTTAGCCCTTTACTTATCATTTCATTGTTAAAGGCCTTCATTAATCATTCCATTGAATAGCACTCCACTGGTATTTTTTTGTTTAACCCTTCGTTAATCAAATCAGGTTTAGCCCTGCTTTGATCATTCATTTAGCCCTACATTGATCAAGTCATTGTTTACCCCTGCATTGATCATTCCATTGTTTGGCTTTTCATTGATATCTATTATTTAGCTCTCTTTTAATCATTCATAAGCGGAAATTCTTATACGTTGTTCATATACCAAACTTCAGCCTAAACAATTGTAAAATGGAAATATTGAGACAACTATGGTAAATCTAGTATTTCACACCTTAGCTTTTTTAGTGTCTAGGCGTCTACCGATTGTTCTCAGGATCTGAGACAAGCATTCCAGGTTCTCCTCCATATCCTTGACTGGTACATTCTTCTTCTTCTCCAAAAGCTGCTTAATGCATTTGTGTAGAACTCCTTCATGGACCATCTCAAGTTTACCAAGCTCACCTATACAATGAGAGAACAATAATAATACGGGATTCTTCAAACAAGTAAGCAATCATGAAAATTTAACTTATGATCTGTTAAATCTTATTGTTAAACAGAAAATAATGCTTTTTAATGTTTAATCATATTTCAAAAGTGATGGGTATATTTTTATGTAGAAAATAATAGTGCTACAAGGGGCATTTCAAAAATAAGACACCTGACATTTCAATATTTCTGAGCCAAATCTCGTGAAATTTTCTTTTAACAGTGATAGCCTATGGGGGAAATTTACACGAGACCTGGAAAAGAACCAAGCGATCTGGCAATCTAAGAAGAGCCCTCATACAGAAATTTATCAAACATGGCTACACCGACATCTTTTTGTTTTACATGTGGCGACATGAAAATGCTACTTACCAATGAACTTGATATTACCAAGCATCTTACTCTTGGCAATATGGAGCTGCTCTTGCTCATCCTCTGACAACAGAGACACGTGTTTGTCATTAAAAGCCTCAAAGGCTCTGGATCTGTTTTCAAACTCATCTTGACACTTAGTGAGCAACAATCGACGAAATGTCGACGTGCTAGAGTTGGGGGGTTCAAAATTTGGCGCGTCTTCACATAGTCTCAGGCATAGTTGGGAGTAGAGGGGGCTGTACTTTGGCTCCTCTAGAGCCTTGTCAAATATCTACAATGAAACAAGAAATAATTTATTAATAGACTTAGCAACTGAAGTATATTGATCGATTGATTTACTATGCCAAAGCTTGCAGACAGCAATATAAAGAACAAAACTGCAAGAGGTTTAAGAAAATTAGCAATAGGATAACCGGCCTATTTCTCTGAAACTGTAAGAATGACATCATAACAAATATGTGGCACGATTTACTGGATTTGTCTAATGGGCGACAGGACTCGTATAGATGGCAGTTCACTAATTTTCACTTATTATGCTTGGTTATGTTTCCCATTCTGTGATTGGCCAAGCAGGTCACATGACAGATACAATTGTATTCATTGGTCATTTACAATACAGTGTGTCTCAAAAAAAATGTTACACTCACAAAAAGTTCAATATCTTTCATAATTTTGACTTTTCCCTAAAATATACTTTGGAAACCAAAAGACAAATCTTTCTCGAATAATTTGACACCATCAAATTCAAAATCTGTCATTGATTGGCTCCACATGACAGCTTTTAGTATCCCATGTTAAAATCTGACTTGCGCTAACTTCTAAGTGATTGGATGGACCAAATGACAAAAGAGGAACAATTTCTTTATTATCTAACTTTCTTCTGAGTAGAAGCTTGGCCTTAAACTGAGTCATTATGTAATTTTCCTATTTGTCTTACATATGACCATTGGGTCTATCCACATAAACATGTGGTCCCCTCAACATGTTCTCCAAAGCAAATCTGTGGTACTCTTGCCCATGCGCACATGAATTGTAATATCACTCTGATTCTATCAATTATTTTTGCAGAAGTTCATTTAGGTCAGTTTGTGATGCTGTAAATCGCTTTCAGAGGCCCTTCAAAAACTCAAGGGTGTAAAGTGGGATGACCCATGGGGCCAATCCATTGGGTGATTCAATGCTATCTTCTGATTTCCAAAGAGTTCTACCATACGATCTGCCACAGGCCTTTGCACCATCCTGTTGCCATCATACGTAACAAAATTGAACACTCTGACAATGAAATCTTGTATTTCTATCCAGGAAAGAAACAACTGGATCATTGATCATATCAAGATATCACTATCCGCATTCACACCAAAAAAAGAATTGATCACCACATGTCCAGCCACTGAGAAGTTGGCGCAAATCAGATCTCACATCCGTCTATAAAATCTGTGCCGTGCAGCCAATCTTGGACGGATTTTGAATCTGATGGTGTGAATTTATTCGAGAAATAGAGGTTCTTATATGAGTAACCGTGCAAGATCGTCCATTCTTGATGAGCTTTGATAATTCTTCTTTATCGAGTCGCAGAAATCATGTAAGATAATCATGAAAGATATTGAACTTTTTGTAAGTGTTAAATTTTTTTTTGAGACACTGTAGTAGGCAGCTTATCACCTCATGTAACCTAATGTAGTATTTGTTTTGAAAATCACAACCACCAACACATATTAACTTGCATTAAAACAAAGTTCAAGACAAACAAACACAATTGTGTTCTACTTACTAGAAGGATAATTCCTCGAAGGATCGTTTGGGTTTCTATGCCTACATTGAGAAGTTCCAGACTCAACTTATCAAACCGGTCAGGGGTCAATTTATTCAAGATACTACAAGAAGAAATTTCCAATTATTACTGATATATGTAAAATACAAAAAAATAGAATACAGCAATATACACATACATTTACTAATGAATAGTGTATTTATCAAGCCTTTAGCTTTAATGTTAAATTCATTGACAATACTTTGGGTGAATGATGGGGGAGGCAATACAGATTTTGAGTTAACCAAGGAAAACACTGATTTGGATCTACACAAAAAAAGGGTCTGAAGTGACCACTTTGACTGTGGTTTTTCAATTCTGTTTTACTTCATATGTTGATGAGGGAAGAAATCTATAGGGTTAAAAAAATAAAAAAATATTGTAAAACACAACAATCCTTACCCACGAACTTTCCTGAAGATCACATCATTTTTGTTGTTTTGGGTCAATGCAACTCGTCTTATGCTGGGAGGACTCCATCTGCGCTTAGCTCCAGAGAGTGTGGGGGATCCACTGTCCCTATAGAAACAAGAAAGTATGAGATTGGGCCTATGGGAAAGATCACACTGGAGATCAATAAATCTTTTATTTTATTTCAATAATTCATTCAGTTCACATTGTTGATGCTGTAAAATGAAAGTACATGTATAACTGTTCCAATATTTTTTATTGTGTCATCAGTTTGCTAGACACTACATTACATTCTTTATAGACTATATCCTCTAGTCTGAATTTTTTTTGAAATTTGGAATGAAAATATTCAGACTATAGCCCACATCTGTTAAAATTTGGGATTGAAAATTATTTGTTTACATAGGAAGTGCCATTCAAAATGGCCAACTGGGTAAATTAATTTGCATATTTGTTACTTCCCCTAGCTTTATTTCCATTTGACAATATGCTGTGTTACTTTTTATAGCATTTAATTGTACCTTACTACTTAATGGAATTGTTGTAATGCTTATTTTTGGGAAGTGAAGTTTCCTAAAATTGATGATTGTGTGCAGGAAATTTCCTGTTTTTTCCCACAGGAGGGACATAATGATCAATAGACTGAATTCTCGGGAAATTCAGTCTATTGGATATAGACTACATTCTTTATTTTTTAACAGGACACACTGACGATAAATACAAAAAAGATTAATTTTCCAGTTTATTTATTTTCTAGTTTATTCGGTTTGAATTCCTTGTTGAATTAGTATAGTTTATTAGAATAAATCTTATCATATCATTTTTGCAATTGTATTCACTTTTATCTTTTAGCCATATTATTTCAGCCTTCAATTTCAATTTTATTCTCAGTTTTGTTCCTATCCCACTCTCTTTATATCTTTTGGCTTTGTTTATATTTTATTTACTTTTTCTAGTTTCATCAAACAATCAGGGCCGGGATAGCAAGCAATTTTTTAAGTAATTCACAATTTAGGAATATTTATTTATGCTCCAGTAAACATATTGTCTAGAATACAGAAATATTTTATACATTAAATAACCTCCTAACCATGAACATATTGATAACCAAGTTACAATTGAATTCTCCCTTTCGCGATTCGCTCTTTGAATCAGAACGTTCGCAAATATGCACTGAAAAAGCACTCAAAAAGGACAAAATTTGATTGGTTTATATTTTCTCACTATGCATTTCGCGTAGCTATTTGCGTGACCCGAAAGTTCTAAATCAAACTAATTACGCAATTTTGTTTTTATACCCGCACGCTAAATAAAACAATGACAGCATCGAAAGTATTCTTCTTTGTCATTGCTTTAATAGTCTCTATACCGAGTTTAATCAATAAAAGATTGAACGATGATCAACAAAATTCGGAAACGAGTACTAGAGATTTGCTTTCGGACCACTGAACAGAGTGACCTAGATAATAGGGACGCTTCTTCTTTGGTCTACTGCTCAGTTATTTGTTGGTTTTCAACGTAACTCTATGATGTAATTTGATGATGAATACTTTTATTCCGTTGTTGCATCGATGATGCAGTTTTTAGTGCGGTAAGATTGGCATGAAAGTATTGAAAGTCGAATGGAATTGTTTTTTCCAATATGGCGACTAGCCAACTGATCATGTGACCTTCTCTTCCGGAATATTTTCTCACTTTTCAATCATCGTTTTCACCACGCTATGAATCAATAAAATGAAAAAAATAGCTGTTATATAAAGATTAATAAAAGATCAATCGTTTCTAATAATTTTTTCTGTACCCTCGTACGGGAATATGAACGAATATATCGTTTGAAAAATAGGTGTTAAAATTCCCATGTTAAACCTATGAGGGAAAACAAGGAAGTATAAATTTGTTCCTCCGCGAACTGCATCATGGGAAATATTTTGACCTTATAAGGAAAGATTTTCGCGTCTCCTCTTTTGAAGAGGGAACAACGATTTCGAGAATTGAATCATAGGACATTCATTTCTATCCATCAACAACATTCTAAAGCATGACTAAATATTCAAAGAATAGAGTGAATATGATTTCCTCACAGTAGAACTAGTCTTGTATTAAATCCCCTCCACTACTACACCCAACAGACGTCCAGAGACTTGATTCAAGACTTCTGTACAACATTAAAAAAACAGAAATTCAAAGAACAAAGAAAATAATTGTTTCCTTACTTGGTCAAGTTGAGAACCATCTGCTTATAAACTCCTGCTTATTAAGTTCTTGTTCCTTTACTTAATGTTAACTGAAGACTGATATTGAACATATGTGACAATGGCCTTTGTTGAGTGAAAGTGGCTTCTTTATATTATAGATTAGCCTTATTATTCAAATGATTGATTGTGTCTGATTGGCTGAGTCAAGTTTGTTTAATTGGTCACATATACGATGTAACTTGCATTTTGTTTGCTTAGAATAACATCCTAATTAGGACTTTAATAAGATACAACAACAGGATGAATTGCCAATATAATGCAATCAAGCTGTCCAAACAAATGTGACAATCAATCGGCATGCTGACATTCTTAATTTATCAAAATTGTGAAAGTTATAATAAGTTTTTTACTATCTGAAGTCAGATTTAATAGACTAGATCTGAGAAATAATTTTGTTTTAACCATTAAATATTTAAGGATTTAAAGACCGAGATGCTATGATTTATGGCGTACAATATGATAGGAAATTTCATTCATCATTGAAAGACCAAAATCACGTAGCTATTGAGGTTTTTGGCAATGTCCAGAAAACAATCTGAGGTCATATATTTCCCATAAATCATAGAATCAAAAGCAATTTGTTATGATTCAAATATGATAAACAAACCAGAAAAACAACTTTTAAATTAAGTGGTAAATACAGAATATCGTATTAAAATCAAAATGATATCATATTTGATATCTACATACAATTTACATTTTAATTTAAATGCTATTTTAGGTCAGGGATACTCTTATAAAATTATGAAAATTGAAATATCTTCTTGTATTGACAGATAATTATTTCCAAATGAAAATTTTTAGATTTTATCTAAAAATTAGCCATCTGGTGGTGAAACATATCTACTGGCACCTTGGTAATTGTTAGATCAGACAAGGACAAATACATCACACGGACAAACTCCTAAACCTAAAAAAATCTTAAGTTATGTTTCATAACTTACCTTCCTCCTGCACTTTGAGAAGCACCCCCGTGTTCTCTCTGTGCGTCCAGTATTACGATCAACCAATACAACGATTGATTAATTACTGTCTATCTGTAAAAATCTGAAAATGAATGTATGAAAATAACAGAAATGCACATTATACGTAAGTTCCCAACTGATTCGTGTATTAGTCAAATTTGAAAGCCGTTAGGATTCTCAAGTTTTTGAGCAAAATCTAAAAGAACGATCATAATCATAAATATTTCAGGCACGTTTTGGACACACATAAATGAAGATTTAGTAGACCTTTTATATATTTGAAGGCGTATTTTATTAGAGTCAATACGTCCAAATCCAAACAGGGGGGTAAACACGAACGGGTTCCAAATAATGGCAAGCAGATCATTGAATTGAATAATAGTACCTCTACTACCTCTACATAATATTTATAGCCTGAAAGATACAATATAATGATGTATACCAACAATCTTACAATAAAATAATCAATTATGATGATTTAGGTGTTCGGAATTACCCCCATGCTAGTGTTTGGAATTACCCCCAAAAACTCTGTGCGTTTAAATAAATAGATGTCAGTAATAAATGATTTAAATTTGGGTTTCTTGATATGCAGGGGTGACAGGATCCAGTATCATAAGTTAAGGGTATCATATAATGATATACCATCAATCTAATAATTAAAACAATAAAGTTTAAGTTAAGTGTTTGGAATTACCCCCATGCAAGTGTTCGGATTTACCCCCCAAAATAACTCCTGTTCAGAATTACCCCCCTAAAATACCTTGTAGTAAAAATGGAATAACCCAGATATTTTTTACAATTTTTCGTAATTTTTTCTGCAAATGCATTCTACAGTGGATAATACACATAATATATATAGAATCATAGCATAGATGTGCAGTACAGCCAAGCTAACTACATTTTTTGATGGGGGTGTTTGGAAATAGACGTACTGACTCTATTGGCCATTTAATTTTTTGGTGTCAAATAAGGACATTGGACATTCAAGAGACTGATTGTCAGAAAATGAATGAAGTTTGGCGGCTGAATGTGTATCATATCGATCTTATATTACAATATCATATTTTGGTGTAATGATATACCATACTAGGTATCTGATGCTCACTAAAAACGGCAATGAAAGATCGAGTTGAAACAAAGAAAAATAAAAAAATTCTGGAAAACAGGAAACGTCTTTTGAGTTCACATTGTAAAGCCAATATCTCCATTACTTCAAGATATTATGCTATAAAACCTCGCCTCGCAATTGAATGTATATCAAGGTACACAATAATAATAAATTTAAAGAGTAGATTAATTGATTTATTGTGGTAATTTGAAAACAAAACTCACCAAGACAATGAATTTCCTGTAAATTGCGAAATTAAAAATTCAATCCCACAATGCTTCAATTCTCGCAATATCTCGTATTACAACAAACGAAACACGGTTTTCGAGACTGCACTACCAGCCCCGGGGAACAAAGACCACACAATCATGTCACTCACTATATTTTGCAGTCATATTTATTGACACAGGCCGTGGGAAAATGAGTAGTAAGCTTAGTGTATCTATATATGCTAAGCTTACTACTTCTTTTCCCTAGGTCTATTTTTATTGACAAATAAGCAGGGTTTGTCTCAAGTTGTGGTTTCAAGGAAAGGGAGAGGGGTTGGGATGTGTAATAGAGATAGACAACAGGTATCAAGCTCACTTTTCATTCAGTTTATTTTAATCAAACATGCGCAACGGATATACATCATAGTCACTTTTAACAACGATGGGATTGAGATTTGGATTTTATGATGTCAAGTTTTACTA